CTTTTCGGTTTCATCGAAACGTAATTGGTCGGATCGAAGTTTCCCTCGTGAAACCATTGATATCACTTTTCGCATGGGATATCGCATCTTCATTAAAAGCCGTACAAATTGTACCCGGCGGCAGCATTTCTTTTTTTTTAATTAAAAGGAAAGTGGATACCGTGTGTTTTATCGGCACTCATCGCGTTCACTTCGCTGGTTTTTGAGGCTGTGTCGCCTCTTCCGTTATATTAAATGGCGTTTTGCAAATATAATGACAGTATTTTAAAATCGCATTAGCGTGAGAGAAAATAATCAAATTTAATATGGTCATTTATGAGAACGGGTAAAGCTAAAGGCACAGAATTAATTTACATACTTAATAGGATTTAATTATATCTACATTTTATAATATATTAAGTCTTTAGTAAAGGTAGTTATTATAAAAAATTCGTCCGACCGTTGATGATTTTATCGGCTCGAAAGATAAGTCATTTTACGCGGAATCAGACAGACAATTATCCAAGAGATAGTAGAAAGCGGTGGATAATGATAGCAGATATTTTGATTAAACATTGCATATATTGTCTCGTTACTGAATATTAATAAAAAAAATATGACTAGAAATCCGAACTCTTTTGCAATTATATTTTGTATACACCGTCATGTGATTAGATTACTTGTTGATACCGGCCGAAGATGCTTTAAGAAAGAAGTCGAAAAGTTTGCAATAAGAGCAACACGTTGTTCACATTGAAAAGTTCATTGTGAGAGACTTTTTTAATATCAATTAAGTGCTTCGATCAAGTAAGTTATAATCTCTTCTATTAAAAGGATTTGCTTTAGTTTTACTCACATGACTCATTGCGTTGTTCTGTAAAGCCGACAACCTAGCAAGCGCGATTAGAGATACGTGCGTTCTCAATTTTTCTCCACGTTTACGAGCGTGATTCATCCGAATTATACAATTAATTAACTATGTAAATGCAAGTCAGAACACGCTTTCTTAAGATATCATGAATATACGCGGTGAGTTTCTTGCACAATTTTTAAATATAAATCATATACGATATATGCGTCCACCTAGATGGATCACACTACATCTACTAAAAATTTAACGAACATAGTACATAATCATCTGCTCTTTGTATTCTCTTGAAAAATCAAAATAATATTGATTTTCGCCCAGCAACTTTAAGGAGACGCGGAAGTTAATATTTTTATATTAATTTGTTTAAAATCACAACAGTGGGAACTAATCATGCATGATAGATATTTAGTTTTGTGGCTTAATTATCCGGATAATTATATAGGGTTCGAGGAGGAGCGTTTACCAATCGTCCGATCAACTTTTCATGGAAAAATTCTTGGCTGTAAAAAAAAAGTATTTTATTGTTGTCATCAATAGTGCGTGGGTAATGTAAAATTACATAATTTCGTCGTTAACTTCTCGCTGGATCATGGAGATCAGGGGCTAACTGTGCAGAAGATGCACAACCGTTACCGATAGAAAGAGTTATTGCGGCCACCCTTACGAAACAATCGCGACTTGCGCTAAATAGATTAAAGCGTTTCTAATCCACCGTTAGCTGATCTATTAGCGATATCCTTTTAGGAAGATCAGCGGCGGAATGTAATATTTGTGAGGTGACCGACACGAGCGCACACATATACACATGTGCGTACACATGTGATATCAGTATACGTAACCTCAGTTACGAGGGTACATGCGCACCGACATGACATTGACCAATTGTAAACTGTGCGAGTCGTTTGAGCATACGCATCGGGAATTACTTCCGGTAAGCGGATTGCTAATACATCCTGTGCGATGACTGTTGGTGATTATCCCATTCTGCGGTTTTTTTTTATCGCGTGTTATAAATTACACGGGTTCGGAAAGCGAGCATGTTCGAACGGATATCGCGTGACATTGTGTAAAACAGTGTAATATCGGTTCACGATGCTCTCCGCGCGCTAACGAATTTTCATTATTCGAAGGAATGCCTCGGCTCGAAGAGCGTCACGTCGGATAAAAATGTCGACCGCCACCCTGACGTGACATTCATCGCGCAGTTACATTAAAATTTTAACCTCACGCGAAAGTCGCAGTTTGTAAGAACGTAAAATCCTTAATAACTATTCTGTTATAAATGCAACATTACTTCATTCAGTTTTCATCGAGAAACCTCTGTGTAATTATAAGCGTAATATTCCCGACAGACCCGATAATATATTAGTCTTCTGTATCTGAAGATCGAAGATCACCTTCGATTAGTCAAAATAATACAATTTCCATTGATATATTGATTTGACAGAGTTAAAGACTGTCAAAGTTTAAAAGCGAGTAGCACAATTACTATTAAAAATTCATCACTCCGAACGATAATAAAACAATAGAATACGGCGGTATAAATTTGAGTAACAACAAAGATTATATCATTCGATTATATCATTACAATGCGATCGACAGCAAGTTATCAATGCTTATCAACTTAAGTGAGACAAGCTATATATATGCACTGTAGATTATTGCATTGGACTGGATAAGAAAAAAAAAAATAGGTCTCAAATTGAGTTGTGATCAAGTAAATTTTCTTTGTAAGAACTTTATTTTTAAACATTATTGTGCTGAATCGTAAATGGTTTTTTTTTTAATTAATTTTCGAACATAAAATATTTTACAACAGGCCCTTTTTAATATAATATACAAAGTGTGAACTAACTCGCGTTTACTATTTATACAGCGCTATTCTTGGAGAAAACTTGAAACGGAGAGACCCGAGACGTTTTCCCCGAGACACGAGGCTTAATAAAGTAGTAATTACTAAATAAAAGTCTAGCTAATCAGCGCTGTTGTTGAATTGGCGTACGTCTGTGAGTCTGCTGGAGGCCTGGTAACATGCGTGAACGCCGCAACGAAGCAACGAAGCCGTTTTGTCGCGACACCGCTAAGACCCGCCTTCGTGCAATTTCAAGCATGCGATAGTGTAAACAATTTTCAAGCCTATTTAAGCGACACTGTTAATTAACCCGACCCCGCTTAATAATCACTAAGCTTCGCGGAAAAAGTGGCCCAGGACTTTTCTACTCGAGAGTATTCCTAAGGAATAGCCTCGTATAAATAGTGAACGCTAATTAATCCCACACTCTATATTATATTTATATTTGTCATTACTAAATTATATATATACTAAAAGTGACTCGCATTTTCCACTAATGCGCCGCTTACCGATTGTTTTTCTGCGGACCAGCTGAAGAAATCAATATTTTCTACGTTCGTGTTGAAAAAATGTGCACCGAAGAAAGTGTCACATTCAAGTAAACAGTTATTCCAACGCCTCTTAGCGAATTTTCACTTGGATTACGTAATATTCACTTGATTACTCCAAGTGAAATATTTCCCATGTAAATTGTCCGGGTAAGATATTTACTCGGCCCAAGCGGAAATCTACTTGGTCCGAAAAAAAATTTGCTGAGGAAGTTGAGGAGGAGCGTCGGAGTAATTATTTACCCAGGTTTAGAACTTCTTTCCACGTGCGATTTATGAGCCGACTAAATATAGTTCATTCGAGCAGCAGTTCCTGGACATTAGATAATCGCGTGATCGCTTTGAACAAATACTAACTTTAAATTGCTAAGCATAACGCCCACTTTAATGAATATATAGATTTTAGCATACCGGCGACAATTGTAACTAAGCTGCGAGTCGTTCCTTAGTGCGTCCGGTTGGCTCTTTCCTTCGATATTCCGCGTCTCTCTTCTTCTCTTCGTGAAAAACGAAAGAAGAGAACGGAGAGGCGGTAAGACACGCGTTCGCGGAAAGAAGTTGTCAGACGCGACGACCGCGACGTCGGCTATGTCTATTAATAGCTCAGATCAGCGTTACAAATAATTGTCACCGGGTATACTGAGCGATCGAGGTAAATCGAGTTTCACGTAATGCGCGCAGCCGGAAGAAGTTGCGGCCGATCCGCCGCGACTAATCGCGAATCTGTAGAATTACATTCGCGAAATATATGTCACCGGCGCTCGTACGGCTTCGTCGCGACGGATAGCTCTCACCTTAAAACTACTCCGTTGCGTTACGTAACTCGCACATGCTGTAAGCCTATTAAAAAAATTCACTTCGTTAGATTGCCGCGAGAGATTTGTGAAATAAAACGGTTCCGTGTCAAGCAAAAATGAAAATAAAATATACGGACCCGAAATAATTCCTAACTATCACGATCAGGTCATTGTTCGCTTCTCTTGATATATTTATATATTTCATATATTTCTTTATATATTTCTCTCTTCCCCTTCCTTATATTTATCTGTTGTTCTTCCTGAAAAGATTTATATTTATCTGTTGTTCTTCCTGAAAAGATTTATATTTATCTGTTGTTCTTCCTAAGAAGGAGCTTTTCGATTACTTTTACTAACCCCTGTCATTAAAAATTGAATTCCAGCTTATCGCATAATTGCTGATTAAACACTAATTGGTTGCTGTAGTCTCAAATTTCTTATACACAACCATTAACTGGAAAGTAATTTTAAAGTTCGGTAAAAAATCAGAAATCGTATTTTTAATGGTGAGAACATTACATTAACAATGGTCAATTTCTTTTCTTAAAAAGAAAATTTAAACCCGCACTAAAATCAATAGATATATTTAAACAGAATTTAACGGAGAAAGACAAAAATTATTATCAGCAATCTAATACCTTTAAAAGGACATTGCGCTCTCTTTCTTTCTCTCTACCTCTCATAATAGCGCGTTAAAGAGTATTTTTAGTATGAATCTTTAACTCGTTTCACTACTTTGAGCCACGCGTACACGCATTTATATGTGTCAATTGTTTTTTTTTTTTATAGATATTATCAAAAACAACGTGTATAGTATAAAAATTGTAATAATTATTGCAAGTTATATCATTGAAGTTAGAATGATTTTATTTCGACATCTTGAGTGTACGTAATCTTATCACTGATTATTGCCCCATTATTCCGTGTGTTCGTCAACCTTTTTCTATTTATAGAACTCGTTCGGCAGACCGGATGACATTGTCGCTGCCGAGACTCTGGCGAATCATGTTCGCTGCAACAACTCCTTCGTACACGCCGTATTTCAAGCACAATTCCGGTCCAGCCTGACCTGTCCGAGATGTCACCGGCAATCGAACACCTTCGACCCCTTCCTATGCGTGTCGGTGCCAGTCCCGCAGAATCATCGCCAAATGAATTTCTTCGTCAACGTGCTCTATACATCCCAACAACCGCGGCAAGTTAAGATCGGCGTGAGCGTGAATCAAGCGGCCAACGTGAGAGAGCTCAGAGAAATCCTGGCCAGCGACACCGGCGTAGACGAGAACCATATGCTGCTGACCGAGATCCATGACGAAGGATTTCACAGGTAGGCTACAATATATACACTTAAAGCGTGCAAAACGATCCGTGGAGGTGGAGAGGAAAAGGGAAGAATTTAATAAATTCAAACTGATTTTCTCGCTAAAAGAAAGTTTCCACCGAAACGTTCTTGACAACTTTATATATATACACACATATATATATATATATATAATATATATAAATATATATATATATATATAAACATTTTGTATTTTCCAGCATATGCAATTTTTTATGTTACCTCTCGTATTTTTCCACAGAACCTTCTCCGACTGTCAACCCCTGTCCGCGATCATGGAAAACGACCCGCTGTATTGCATCGAGCTGCCGCAGCTGAAGGAACCTACAGAACAAGCGTACATCTTGCTGGTGTGGATCAACGTCCTCGTGAAGGGGGACCTGAGACAACGATTCGGCAGCCCGTACACCATGCAGGTGTCGCGCGAGACATCGTACGAGGATCTGCAGAAGCTGTTGCTGAAGGAGATGCACAGCACGCTGGCGGACGACGTTCTCACGACTAGCCAGAGCCCGGGCCTCTTCAATATCCGCGTGGCCGACCCAGCCGCGACGCCGATCCAGGACGAACACCCTTGCATCGACCCGTGCGTGGAACACCCGCTTTACACGGAGCAAATCGAGCAAGCGTTGGCGCTCTGCGCCGACGACTCCGGTCCGCAACACGTGAAGCTCATCCTCGAGTGGGACGAGGCGACGAAACGCAACATCATACAGGACGACAGCGACCAGATCGAGGAGCACGCCAGCGTGAAGCAGTTGAAGACGAATTCCGAGCTGGGCGGCGCGGTGACTCTGGAGGAATGCTTCGATCTGTACACGAGGGCGGAGATATTGGGCGCGGAGGACGCGTGGCATTGTCCCTACTGCAACAAGAAGCAAGAGGTTGTGAAGAAGCTGGGCCTCTGGTCGCTGCCCGATATACTAGTCATACACCTGAAGCGATTCCGTCAGCAGTCCAAGCAGCGCTCGACGTCCAAGCTTACCATGTTGGTGGACTTTCCCCTTTACGGCTTCGACATGACGCCGCATCTCGCCCACAGCGGTGTTCAGGCGACGCACAACAACGTGGCCAGCCTCGGCGGCCTCGGCTGGTCGCCGTGGAAGAAACCACGGCCCCGGCAGCACAACATCCCCAAGTACGACGAGAACGTCTATGACCTTTACGCGATATGCAACCATCACGGACAGGATCTCCAGGGCGGGCATTACACGGCGTTCTGCAGGAATCCGTACGACACGCAGTGGTATTGTTTCGACGACACGCGCGTGGAAGCGGTGAACGACACCAATCTCATCACGAACTCGGCGTACATGCTGTTCTACCAGCGCAGAGGCTTGACCCACAACTCCACCGGGAACTCGTCCGCCGCGTCCACGAGTTCGGCCGGCTCGGGTTTGGATCATTGGGTGTCGAAGATGCCGCCGTTTCACTTCAACAACAAGAGCACCGCCAACGTGACGAACAACAAGCAGAGCAAGTCGCAAGAGGTGCTGTGCCAGGAGAAGATCGTCGAGGAGAAGAACATGACCAATTTTACCAGGGGTTGTCGTAATTACGCGACTTTGCAGCCAAAGAAGAGGAACGCGGCGACGGAAACCGACATCGGCCAGATCGATCATTACTCTGACGATGAAGCGCCCTGCAGAAGGGAATGGGTACGTGATCTTTATATATTATCGTCGTCAAAGTTATGAGACAAATTATCCGTTAATGTTAATGTTAAAGAAGAAGGCAGATTAATCGACTAACTGAATAATCTTCTCATATGTTGACTATATCTGATCGCAGGCCTCTCCGAAACCTGTACGGAAAACATCGTCCATCACGTTGACACCGCATATACCGCCAGCCATAATCCAAAATGCCAGCAGCGATCCAAATACAACAGTAATACACGAGTCCACGTTGTAACACACAATTTAAGCCAGACCGAGAGAGGTCTGGCTCGAGCGATGCTCAATGCACAGTGCCTGGTGATGTGCCGTGAATGTGGGTTTTCGAATAACATCGAGTGCGGCGAGATGCGAGAGAAAAGAACGGACAATTCTGGTAGAGCGTCGCGTGTCCGTTATTTTTCCCGGATTGCTGGACGATTTCACCCTTAGAGTGCGACAAATCTCGTTCTTTCACTTCGAATTTATATAGAAAATGCTTTTTTGTACGAAGAACGACACGAACAGATAGATTTTCCCGGCAGCTTGCTTCCCCTTGCGAGTGTGTCCACTAAGGGAGGAGCATGACATAAATCTGTACGGATCATTTTTCGAGAAACGGTAGAAATGACGAGGCATTATTAATTTTTGTAATTGTAATACCGTGTTTGTATACAGCTCGCGTGGATTGTATTATATATATATATATATATATATATATATGTATGTATGTATATATATATGATAGCTGCTAAAAAGTAGCTTTTTAAAAAAAAAAGACAAATCTTATATACGATAAGTAAAATCGCGAATCGCGTGAAATGAAGGGGAAGACCTCTAGTGTTTATATAATTAGATCATCGACGCGCAATAGGCCATTAAATTCTACCTATGTCCAGAGGAAAAAGTAAACAATTGTGAAGCAGTTTCGTGCAATTATGATAATACGCCTCTATAATGTGATTATTTCGACATAAGTATTGTTCGCATTGTGTCACCTTACAATGAAAGTATATGACAATAACAATTGTACGTTACAGTCCTGCATTAATATACAACACTTGTTTCTCCGTAAATCGATCGTTTCTGGACATACCGTGTAGTTATTCTGACCATGCTTTGAATCTGTGCTTAACTGTAATATTTATATTATACTTGTATTATCCACTAGTGGCCTTATCTTGATAATTAATACTGATACACGTGTCATTATTAGCATATTAATCACACACACACACACACACACACACACACACACACACACACACACACACACACTTTGAGCGTTTTATTTTAGACATTGAGACTTTTCGCTAAAGTCACGACGCTATAATATTAGTTCCGGCATCCTTCTCTGATTTGCATTATTTAGAAAGAAAAAGGAAATACTATATATATATATATAAGTTACATAATATTATAACCTTTATTCGAGTTCTTCCAATAAACTGTGCAAAGTTTCACAGTTACTCCACCGATACAAAGAGAGGGAGTGTAATCGATTTCCGTACAGAATGGCTTTTCTACCAAGAGAGAGCGCGTAAATATACACATCCACACAGTCGGTTTCTTGTGGTATAATTGAATACTCCAGTCCCTCCAGTTCTTAACGAGATCATTCCAATTGGACGTTGAGTAGAATGTTAACGAGAGCAAAAGAGTGAAAGCGAGAATTTATAAATATATACATATGATTTTATATATAGTATCGAGCGGGAGATATTTAAGTTATTTTATAATTAACACCTATTACTAGTCACAAACTATTGTGGACAGGGGTAGGAGACGCGCGCGAAAAAAAGTAACGTCGAGTAAAGCGCGAGCGGGCATGTGTAAATCGCGAGTCACTACCCAATTACGATGATTTTAGAATTTACGTATACTTGATAATTGACTGAAGGATCTACGCATTATTAATATTATTACATATTTTTTCGTCAAGGGAGAAATAAAATGAAATATATATATATATATATATATATATATATGTGTGTGTATGTATGTATGTATGTATAAATATATGGAGGAGACATTATTCTCTCTCTCTTTCTCTCTATCTCTCTCTCTCTCTCTCTCTTTCTTTGTGCACGTCATACATGTAACTTCGTCATTTTCGACCTACGCCTTTCGTGCCACTCGTCGTGCGTTGCATTTTGTTACACGTTTACAAAGGAAAGTACGAAAGAATAACATGATCCTGAATTCGTCGTGTAGACGTACATGCATACCTTGTCTTTTCGGATATCTTTTTAGAATTAGTGCTCACCTGTGCGAAATTCTTTATTTATGGACCAAATGAAACGGGACTTAAGCAAATGAGATCGCTGCTATTTTAATGTCTTACTGACACGATACGGCAGAAACATGAATAATTCAATGACAAAATGAAAATAAATAAAATATGATAAAACGAAATATATGAAACATAGTGTTTTCCAGGCATTTCCATCAAGATGGTATAACTGGTAAATGCCTTACCTTTGCGCAAATATTTAAAAAAAAAGTTGAATTATAAGCATCTGCAAATTTTATTTAAAAAAATTGAGATAAATATGTTAACGCGTTTATATATAAAGTTTGAAATTTATCTTAAAATGAATAAGTATATAGTATAACGCTTTCACCTCAGATCTATTTTGATAATTTGTATACTTTAATGCGTAGAATTTATTTTTGAAAACGAAATTTGTCGCTCGTGTTCTTTTTTTTAAGTTTTATTATATCGGTAAGTAGGGAGTACAAATAAGAGGTGTTAGTTTTTCCCAGTGTGGGCAGTAAAAGGGGAATATATCTGTTCTTCAATCTTGTCTGCAAGCCTCATAAGCAAAAAACGCAATCTATATATATATATATAAATATATGACTTCACTATAATCTCTTATCATTTCTTATCATCTTCTTTTTTGGCTCCGATTCCCTTGACTATAGTAGTATCGTTTTCACTCCGCGAGATAGCGCCGCTACACTCATAAATGACGCCTACGACATTGTACAAAGACGTAAATTCATGGGACGTTAAAACCAGCGTCGAGCGTAATCACGTGACATCACATTGACGCTAACGTCAAAGAAAAGAAATTAGATCGTATCTAAGCGTCACGCACTGATGAGATAATATTAAAGACCATTGGCGTTACGGAATTTCGCGTATAAGAAAATTTCGCCGTTTGTTAACCTCCAGTCGATAAATTTGTTGGTAAATTTGTGTTAAATCAGCGTAAATGATAACTGCAGAAATGCAGTTTCACGAAAATATTTAATATATTTCATTATATGTGTATATATCGATAAAAACATCAAAGAAAGAGGGGGGGGGGTGACTATAAATAATAAAATGAATAGTCTTATTATTGTCTTGATCTTCCCCTCCCTCAGATATTTATATCGGATAAAAATAATTGTATAATGCTATCCTTCTTCAATTATCTCCGAATCCTTCGGGGCTTTTATCATCACACGAAAATTTACGCAGAGCTGAAAGTCTTTAATGTTACTTTATCGATGCGTCATGTAACTTGAACTGCCAATGCGAATATCCTAATGTCTTACGTTGCTTATTATATTCTATTATTTTTTCTGTACAGTCTCTTAACCACGTTATAATATTTATTCCAGAATGACGTATTTCTCCGAGAGAAACTCTATGCCGTAATGTTCAAAATTTGACGCTGCTATACCCTTTTCGTTATCGGCAATCTCGATTATGTGGTCACCTGTTCTGACGCTAAAAATGAGCGTCGAACGTCGGCATGAAAAAGCACCTCAACCTATGATCAATCAACTGAAAATGATAGCCGAGATGCTAATCACTCGTTCTTAGCTGCATTACATTACATATGTTGCAACTAGGACAACGTATACTTAAGCATTACGAGGAAAGGAAGTAGGAAAATTAAAAGGAGACATAAAAATTCCGGTTAATATGAACGAAACAGGTGTGTATAGAACACTTACGAGACTATCGTGAACGATAGATCCGGTCTCTTTCATCGCGTTTATACTTTCCTCGAGTTTAATTTAAAAATTCAATATCACACGAAGGTGAAAGCGATGCGTTGTAATATCAAGGTAAACTCTTAAGTATCAAAACAAATCAATATCAACGAATCGATATCATCACGTTCGAGGATTAAAATTTGGATTTTTTCAACATAAATTCACGCTCATATTTTCCATACGTGCAACGGTCAGTCTTCCGTTAATATTCTCCCGAAAACAAACACGGGCGGCAGTTTTGTTTACACGAAACTTAACGTAAAGAGACATTTATCTGTAAGTCGCGGCTTTCGTGGAAACTGATCGAAAACGGGGAACGGGGAAAATCTTGGTTGGAAAGTTAACCGCCGCGTCAACATTTTACACCATCTGTAAATACGTTTTAGAGGCGCGCGCCGGTTGCGCGCGCACGTCCGTCCAGGCGCAGCGTACCCCTCGCAAGGGGTGGCGTGCGATTGGCCACTGCGCCGCCCCACCTTTTCCTTTCGCTCGTCAGTCCGGCTCGAGCCTTCGTGGATTGCGTGTTGTGTGTTGTGGATCGCGCTTTCGTACGCGAGCGTGCGGACTCCTCACTGAAAAAATCGAGGTAAGAATCGCGATCGGGACGACGCGCGGCCACCGTCACGCCTGTCGTCGGCGTGAGAGAGAGAGAGAGACTCGCATGTCATCGCCGCGAATTAACGCTCACGACCGTACACGGTACCTCGTCTACGGGGGAAGAACGACTCCTGTCGCACTTCTGTCACGCGAGAGCCATCACCGGGCGAGACACGTTCTCGGACTCGCCCTAACGATATATACCGTGGCGATATATCGAAGGTAACGCGGAAGGTGCGTGCTTCCCGTAGTGCGCCGACGAAGGAGGCGCTTCGTCCTCGAGAGAGTTACACTCGGGCGAGACGAGGGAAAGAAAGTGAGGTGATGTCGGGAAAAAAAGGGGGAGTGAGAGAGAGGGAGAGAGAATGAGAGAGGTAGAACAGAGCGTGGAAGGAAACAGAGGAACCTGATGGCGCTCATGGTCGCCTTCGTGTGTACTCTCGGGGATCGATACACGGTACACACTTGGGACGACGTTGTGTGGGTGTGAGAATACATTACACACGAGCTTCTCTCGTGGAGACGCGTCGCCGCTGCTACGTATGCGTGTGCATGTGTGAAAGCCCACGGGCGTGAGAGAGAGAGAGAATGAATGAAAGAAAGAAAGAAAGATACACACAGACGCGGGTGGGGAGACGAGAAGTGTCGGAGAGAGGAGAGTGCATGGGGCTGGATTTCGTCGCGGTGCCGAAACCAAAGAAATCCCAGCGGCAGATGTTGCGTGCGAGCGAGCGAGCGAGCTAGGCGAGCGCGAGTGAGTGAAGAAGCTCGTAAAACCCCGTCGCTCATAAAGCCGGGGGTTGCCGGATAAAGCAAGTCCGAAACTGTGTCTCCTCTCTTCCTATTTCTCTCTCTCTCTCTCTTTCTTTCTCTTCCTCGTAGGAGGACTTTCTCGCGCGCGCGAGAGTACGAACGCGGATACGGAACGGCGGGTTGCACCTCTACCTACGACGGGGAGGTATCGAACGGATCCATTTTCTTCGCGCATGCAAGGCGACGGTCTCTCGCGACGAGCGCGAAGCGCCAATATGATCGAAGGTAGAGTCACTCGCGTTTATAGCGTCCACGAGAGAGCGAGCCACGATTACGACAGGTCGATGACTTTTTACGTACGATAAAAGCGCGTCGTGCGCGCCGACCTGACCACCCGGCGCTTGAAGAGACCGACCTCGGCCTCTCCGGGATGCGTATCATCGTGTGCAAGCCGGCGAAAAATTTCGACCTCTCAAAGATCGCGTTCTGACGGCTCATCCGTCTGACACCCGGAGCTCGTGAGCGCGCGATCTCGTCGGAATTGTGGAAGACGCGCTGTTACACAAGCTGTGAATAGTTTAGAAACCCGTTATAAATCTGTCGACCGGCTGGAATATTGGGGGTATATAGACGTCGGGCCGAAATGCGCGGATTAATGGCACAGAAACTAATGGTCTAATTTTATCCCCGGTGAAAAACAGCTTTCCCTCGCGTCCCGGGGATCTGTGAATTTTGCAGGGGGATCTTTCGAAAAGATCTCTGAAAGGACCAAAATTGTATTATTGGATTTTCTTCGTCTCATGAGAACGTAAACTACTATATTTCTCATCCTATTTTTCGTTCGGGTTGAAATTTTACAGGAATTCACTTTCAATTTTATGAGAATCAAAGAATACGATACGAACGGTGAATTGATGAATAAAGTTTACTAAAATATTTCTAACTTAATAAAATAATAAAAGAATATATAAAAAAATATGAGAAAGAAAGGCGAATAAAGATATAAAAGAATAATACATGTGAAGTAAGAAGGAATATTTCTGTCGCTTGTGTATTCTTACGTCTTTCTACGATTACTTATTTTTAGCTATATTTAGATCTATTCCTTCTTAGCTATATTTACTTATACTTTCATAATATATGCTTTCTTTTTCTTCCTTCTTTTTCTCTTAAGATCCGAATATACACAAGCGTGTGAGTGCACACGTATGCGACGCACACACACACACGCACACACACACACACACACACACACACACACACACACACACACACACACACACACACACACACACACACACACAAATATATATATATAATATATATATATATATATATATACAAAGAGGTACTAAAAACAGGTACAGAACTTGAGAAGGGCATAGTACTCGTTAACAGCTGTAGGCCATGCCCGATCACCGTAGGTCCGAAAATCGATCCTTGACTTCTTTTTCGGTAAGGAAGGCTGAGAGAAACTAATCCAACATATGAAATGTTGTACTGTTAAGCCCTCGACTTTTATCAAGTTTAAAATTAGGTCTGTTGGAAAGAGAGTTAATTAGTATCGCTTGTGTAATTTTCTACTGCACGAGTATTCGCTAATTAAGTGCAGCATAAAAGCTTTTAATATTAAAAGACTAATATTCTATGTCATTGTTAATAGAGCGTAATTTTCATTATTTCTGATAAATTATTCGATTGATTTTAAATAATCCACAAAGCAAGGTTTGCTTCGAAATTGATAAAATTTTAAGTTACATATCGGAATGTTCTCTGAACACATCGCTCTTGAATCATTTTTGACTAATCAAATGTTAACAGGATTCCTTATATTTAAAAAAAAATCAATTAAACAGAAAACAATAGACCAATAAGAGCAAGCCTTGATTGCGCAAAACAAAATTAACAGATGATTAGTAAAATCTATTAAATAGACACAAACGTTTCAGCCCCGTTTTGAGTCATTTTCAATGTGATACAAATAAAAAAGTTTCCGCTCGCATGAAGTAATCTTAAATACGCAGTACGCAACAATGTCGTAATGCCGATGACACTTTTATATTAATTTTGGAAAATTGACAAACATTGTAGCGTCTCAATATCAAATGTATACGTTTAATTGCGAGAAATTATCAGAGTTCCGAGTTTCGTCTCGTCAATTAAATCATTTCTTATCTGCCTGTTGTTCTTACCGTTGAAATCATCATTTCTTGTCAATCCCGAAAGAGCGACGCTATATTCTTTCTATATTATAGGCAGAAATTTTCAAACGCGGCGATAGCCTGAATAATATGCGGGGTTGTTAACGCCTGTTTCGCGTAACGAGTTGATCTTTTCAACGAGATGTAAACTTACACCGTACCAGAAACTAATTCGACGTTCGATGTTTCCTCACGCGACTGTTACCGGACGCTCTTTTAGGACCAGCAAACAGCACTACAGATGAGTATAGTTGCGTTATAGTCGATCGATCGTAGTAAGTTGCATGTCGCGATACTAACCAACCCATGATCGCGATAGGTCGATGACTTTTTATTTATGAGGACGCGAACGATTTATAAGACACCCCCTCGAGTCTATAACAATAAGTTTGGGATTACCATTTTAATCTTATATAACTACAAAAGATTTCTTGATTCTATCGGAAATTTATTATGCAGAACGGATATCCAGGCACCGCTCCATTTGCCCCTTATAAAGTTTGTCTCACTAATTAAGTGCTTAACTGGGAAGCTGATATTCAGTTAATTTATTTGTACTCTCTTAATAATAAGTCGTTAATTTATATCCTAATTGCTAAAAAGTTTGTCTTTGTGACTAGATTTTACATCACATTTCTCTGATACTGCTCTTGATTGTCGAGACATTTATTCAAAAACTCACGTTTACTGTTGTATTTCTGTGAAGAAACTCGTCGGTTTCAAGACGCAATACAGCGTCGATAGACGCATCTTGAGAATCAGTTTGACACTTGTGACCGAGTAGTCATGTTTTATGTATTTTAAACTGACCATTTTGATATAAAATTTAGCCTTTATCTTTCTATCACATTATGATTTGTTTCAGTGAATTTAACATCCGATTTATAAAAACGTAAGCGTGTGTCTTATTCCAATCCAAACTAGACTGCAACATGTTCCAAGCGGATCAGAGTCAGAGGGGGACGCATTATAATAGGTTTCCTTGTTAGAACGACAGCATGGGTGCGCGATCATAATACTAATGGCGTTCATTTAAAATTGCAATGCAATTGGTGATGACTTTACTTCCCGTTTATATGACGAGGTGAGTCAGTATAAATGCGTACGCATATTATAGCCTCCGCCCTTCGCCGTGAATCACGTTTGCAGTCGCGATGAAAATTCCATCGTACATTCCAATGAAATTGATGTTTTTATTAAACGGAATCTATTAGCGGTTGCGCGATATCGTGCGATAGAAGGATTAGGATCTGTTTGAGGAGAATTCAAAATATTTGGCTCACCAAATTTTTCTTCTCTATGAGCATAATGAGGTTAAATCGTGCATTCTATTGTACGTAGTAAGAGTACACTTTTTTAATTAAACTATAGAGAAACACTTGACTACAAAGTTCTGAAATCTTACTTAAGCGTTTACTTATAAAATTGTCAGCTATGTAATAAACTTTTACTTTACTAGCGTACGTTTTGTAATTTTATTATAAAAGTACGTATATAATTTTATCTGTATAATTATTGTTGCTAAAAACGTGCGAGAATGTATATGTAGATACATGTAATAGAACGATCAGTTTTGATCCTACAATCTTACAGTTATTTCGTAATTTACAAACAAAAGCTTATACTGAGCTAGAAAATTTATTGTTGAAATTTGGAAAAAGCGATGTCAACTTCACAGAAGTGTGTTGACAGTAATATTCAAATGTTCGACGGATACTCAAATGTTATGTCGAGACTTGGCAATTGAATTTTTCTATAATGCTTGGGAAGCGTGTCTTCTTATTTGTACAGTTAATTGCATGATTCAACTGCTCTATATTTGTAAAGAACAAGAAGAATTATTAAATCACATGCCGCAAGCGATTTCTTCTGAGATCGGATATTCGCGATAAATTTAATAATGGAATGAGCGAGTGAGTGACGTTTTTGTGTAGTAAGAAATAATACAAATTGTAATTTATTCACATAATTGATTCAACGTACGACTGCTTTCGCTATCGCAAATTGCAAATGCGCAGCTCCATTAATTACATTGTTACATTACATTGTTCGGTTAACTAATGATTACTAACGATATATCGGACGTCTCTCGGCGTTAATTTTTAACACAGATTTATATTTTTAGTAAGAGAAACACGTCGCTAAACTACATATATATATATTTATTCTAGAATTATTTAATATAGTCCCCCTCTGGATTCTCTGAAAGTGAATTTATATCCCTAAAGTAATTAAAAACTCATCATAATGTACCACCGAATGAAGGAAGTTATATCATGTTTTAAAGCAGTTCCAATTAAAACGAGATTATTATTATTACGAATATTCCGGTATGAGTGTGTATTAAATGTATCGAAGTCTGCTGTGCTGCGGCGCGACAATGTACGTTTCAAGGATAGAACAGAACCAGGAAAGTAGGTTAATAAACCGTACATGTTCATTGCACTTTATCGATTCTTGCTATATTTATTAGAGAGACAAGTATTTGTTACCCGTGGTGTGTATTTACACGAGCTTAATATAGATTATCGTGTATAAAAGGTGTAAATATAAAGTATTAATATAAAAAGTATATAAAGTTGACCGAATTAGGTCGGTATATTATATTTGATGTCTCAATAGATTTGAGAGAGAACAATTTAGAAAAGTTTACACACCGAGGAAAAGGTTTCTTTAGATTTAGTATTTCTATTTGACAAAAATTTGTCTCACAGAAACAACATATATGAAATATTATTTGTTTGAGTAAAAATTGTATTGTCTCATTCGAGAAAACTCTATTACTTAACGGAAAGAACTATTATTTGACATATATTATCTTTTAACCGAATAAAATATTATTTGGTTACAATAAATATATAAAATGAAACAAATAATTTCTTTGTGGGAAAATTATCTTTCGTTTCAAGCGAATTTTTTATTTAAGATAAATATACGTATTCGTTGAAAAGTCTAACGATCGTACTTATTGAAACATTAGTTTCCTTGGAACATGACGAAATTTGTTTGGATACAATAATATTTATTAAATTTGGAGAAATCTTTCAGTGTATGCACTAAACTAATCGCAACTATTTTATTATATTCATTTTTACAGAATCCAATTTTTATATGTAGAATGACGAGCTCTTATACATAGAACGAGTCACGTAATCTGTTATATCACAATATCTCATTAACCAGACGAGATGGTGCAAAAATTTTTGATGCTGGTTTAACGATGGGAGAGAGGATGGGTCGTTTGTTTACTTTCCCACGTCCCGTGCTTCTGCGAACCGTACTTAATATTCCCGGAGTGATTTTCGTATAAACTTGGCGAATTAAGTTTATTCTCTTCTATCTCAGCATAATTATAGAACTGAAGTGAAGAGGATGCGAGACTACTCAGTCATCCCGAGTCGTCGAGGATTTTGATGACGAGGATAACAGCGTTGTTGTGCCTATTAAGTTTACTTCAATCGATTTGTGGGCTAAGAATCCTCCCGACGCGTTTATAATGTCAATGAAGCGTGAGATGGAGAGAACAGCTGGCGCAGACTTCATTAATTAAACCCCGCGTTGTTTCCACTAAACGAAGAGTTGATACGGCAAAGCATTTCGCGATATTGAGCGGCGCCGATGTGTTTAACCAAGATTGAATCATGACTAACAACGGAAGAGTGTAACACGGGTGCACACTATTCTAACAATAATAATCAAATTAAAAAGACTTTCGGAACAAATCCTCGTGTTATAGTAACAATAAAAGACTAAAATATGAGGGATACTGGATTATGAGGAAAAATAATCACCAACTGCTTCTGTGTTCGCTGTTTTAATTTGATTTGATTTTCTAGTTTGCTTTCGGGATTGCCAGAATTCTCGACAATCCAATAAAATAATAATCAAATTATGTTATCTATTTATGTTATGTACGAATTATTCTTTCTCTTTGTTTTTTTTTCTCTCGAAATTTATATTGATGATGACGTGATAACGAATGAGATAAGATATGCAGCTGTTGTTTTACGTTTTTATTTGAAATGCGAATCCAAGATATTTTAATTTTCTCATGTAAAGCAGCGAAAAATAAGTAATTCTTGTTGATTTTGTTGGGAAAGACAGTAAGATTTCATTAAATTCGCGTCTCCGTTAAAAAGTCAATTTCTAAGATCGTCCAATTATATTTTATCGCATTTTAATGTTAAGAAAAAATACATCTCTTACGTTTGAGAAAACTTGGCACGAAGTATTAATTTACTTCCTTTTTCACCTTATTACAGCGCTCGTAGCATGTCTTGACGAGCAGGAGAGGCGCTTCGACAGGGTCTTCGGCAGGGTCTTCGGCAGATAAGGATTCTCCAAAATGGCGGGCGGTCAGCAGCTTCCGGAACAATACACGGTACCACAGCTCGCGAGGATCTTCCACAGCCTGCCGCATCTGAACGTCTCTCTGCATTCGGTCAACAATACATTCAATCCTCACTCTGAAATCTATTTGGAGGTAGATCATGTGTATGCCCGTCTGTATGTGTGTATGTGTGTCCTCGGATAGATTCATCAATCTGACTTTCTTGTCAATTATTGGAATAGAGAGAATACCCTCTCCTCTGCTCTCCGCCGAATTCGCTTTTCGCCTCCCGTTGGTGCAGCACGCAAATCGATTTCGTTGATTTAAAACAAATCGCATCCGATTAAACAGATACGCGACCTGAGACTTTTCAAAGCTTTATTTCAATTGATAAGCGAGCTGCCCGGCGAAGGGGACTTCACGCAATTCTCCAAATCGATTTTGGAAAATATCTCTGTGCCCGGAGAAAAGAGAGACCAATGTCCATTGCTTTAACTTCCACTTATAAGAAACGCTGAATTTGTGTGAACATTAAAAAAAATTGAAGTATCTTTTCTCGATTTCTCGAGTAAATTTTGTNCCCCCCCCCCCCCCAATTTTCAATCGTTTATAATATAATTTAAGATTATAAATTAGATTTTAGGACGTTTTACAGTCGGGGATTTTTATCGCTGCTAAATTTCAGTAAACAGGGATTGATTGGATATTTCGCACGAGTAGATCCTCCGCTAATACCTTGATCTTGTATACCAGCGACTTTCGATCCCTCGGGGATATCCTCTTAGTGTAACTACGCCACCGAGAGAGCGTTTTAGATTATCGTTTCAACTGGGGTGCCTCTCGTGAGCGTTGATTGACATCGGTATATATTCAGATTGCTAAAACTCGAGTAAAAACATCTGGAAACGGTTGAGCGAGGAAGACCGCGTTATCGACTGGTTTTTCTACCAGCGTAGGAACGAAGGAGAGAAAAGAAAAAAAAAGAGAGAGAGGGAAGAAGGAACGCTTGACGCGTTCACGGAAAGCAACAAATGCGAGATGCGCTGCAACATGAGGGCGCAGAAGAAAAAAAAAGAAGAAAGAAAGGAAGAAAGAAAAAGAAGCGGAATAAGAAGCTGGTAAAGAAAAGGCCAGGAACGACGGACAGGTGGATGCCGCGCGAGCGTGCAAAAATCCGGGCCGCGTAACTGGAAAGCACAATGCCCGGGAAAGCTCAAACAATGCACAAAGGGCTTTCGCATAATGCGCCCGGAGCCACTTGCGGGCTTCAACGTGCTTCAGAAACGTCAGGCTACGCGACGGGTATATCCCCGCCGCTCTTCTCATATTCGTGACTCCTGCACTCTCCTTCACGTGTCCTCTCCTTCGTCCCCCCCTCCCCCTCCTTTTTTTTCGCTCCGTCTTCTTCGGCCGTCGAAGTCGAAGATACCGCCGGCGACGTTCCTGCGAGGGAAACTTTCGTCTCGCGATATGCACGTTTTCGTCATGCATGCGCCAAGGTGACGACGGAATCACCGGACCGAGAGCCGAGGAGAAACGAGATAAAGGCCTCGCTCGGAGGCCACGTTTACTTATCTCGGGACATTTCCCGCTCGTGAACTGTCGTGACCAAGCGACATTTCCGTAGACATTGGTATCTTCGTCCGAAAATTTCCCCGGGAATTCGCTGTTACGGCCGATGACGATCGCGTCTAGGATAACCCCGTGCACGTACGGTGTGTTATCGAAAGGTGGTATCCGATATTTTTGTAGACTCGCCGTACTCGCTTTGATCGAACAAAAATACACCCTAAAATATATATCTGTACATCAATCCCCTTAGAGTTAGCAGCGATTTTCTATTTTAATTAATTCAATGAGAGAGAGAGATACCTATCCGACATCTGTTGTTCTGCGCTTACGGTGCCGAAACGGTAGACGATTATCTTATCGCACTGCTTCCATGCGTAAATATTTGCTTTATTTGCTCAATAGACTCGTTCAGTATAGTCTCGGTAAATGCACAGCCGGGAGTATCGGTGTTCGTCTGGTTACGATGTTCGAAGTGCACTTGACAATGGTGAACAACGGCCGTTCTAAAGACGATAGACATATTTTATCGATGACCGTGCTCGGAAATGCATTGATCGTCGCATGTCGTTTGTACGCGGAAAGACTTCGAAGGAGAACGTGTGATACGGAAATGTCAAGTATACCCCTATAAATATCAGTGATTTGCAAATAGCACGTGTTAATAAGTAATTAAAAGCCAATAGCGGCAATCCAACATTTAAAATTATTATTATTGATCATGATAAGTAAATAAAAGTAGAGATACAGTGATAATTTTTTTTAAGTAAAATTCAAAATTCGCTATTAACTTGGATATAAATATTATATAGTTGGAACAGAAAATATTAGTAAATTGAATTATTATGTGATTACATCACATGATTCTTCGATAAACACAAACTGACAGTTACATTAGAACAATGTTATTATTTCCCACTGAACGGATGTAACTGTTATATACGTTACATGTTATATTGCGTTTACTTCGTTGAGTGGGAAATTATAATATTACTGTTTTAATTACTCTTTTAATACTGTTAACTAATTTAATGTTACTGTTTATTAATGTATTTACGGGGTCATTCATTTATACTCCCTTCAATATTAAATAATCTTAAAATCGAATTATTAAATAATCACCAACTACTTCTGCGATTAACACGGAATTAATCTTCTATTTTTATGTGTATAATTGTTACTTACTATGAAAACATTGACCTATTTTGACTATTTTTATTCGATCTCGTGAGAGCACTGTGCGAGCCCGCAATATTTTGAACCTTTTTTTCAATAACACTCTGCATAGTGCATTTATGCAGAAAAGGAAAGGACTGTATTTGGATGTAATCTTTGCAGAGTCTCGGGATACTAGGAAGTATTCCAGCAGCCTGGTTGATCTTAACATTGCTGGTGTTGCTAGTTTATTTGGTAACAAGATGTTGCGACCGGAAGCCGCGCCCCAGGAGGTCGATAACCCTGCTGAAGTGTTCACTGGCCGTCCTGGCACTGCTCTGCAGCGGAGCAGTGGCTGTTGGTCTTTACGGCAACGATGACGTGCACAACGGCTTAGTACAGCTCGTGGCAGCGGCTAAAAACGTCGACGGGATCCTCATGGGTGTGAGAAATCAGGTACTTTAACTTTCTAAAACGATTGTTTGTCATAAATTAGGTAGAACAATATATTCTGTATCCTTCCCGTGTCATTTTCGATTCGTCAACTTGAGGTAAATATCGTGCAGAAGAAGTGTCTGACGCTATAGATTGATATTAAACAATAATATCAATTTTTTTATTCTTCCCTGATAACATAAACTCGTCAAAAAGAGAGGTTTGAAGCGGAGTCTACAATAAGAATTTAAGCTCTAAGACTTAGAAAAAATTGATCAATCACAGTCGATTATTCTTCTAACATTCGACCTGTGATTGCTCAATTTCTTAAGGCTCAGAGCTTAAATTCTTATCGTAGATCCTGCTTAATACACTTCCTCTTTAAGTGGATCAAGTCACGTTCGTTGGTCCTCCTAGTGTTCTATGCAAGTGACTCTATCTATAATATAATAACGACCAGCTATAAAATATGCACACCAAGTTCCTGTTGTTACCGTACGATACCTGTCGATACCGTACTTCTTGCAGACTGACACTATAGAAGCCACCTTGAAGAAAAAGATGCAGCCGCAACTAACCGCCCTCGGTGACGAATTTGACGCCCCGGTCAGCAACAAGACGATGCTGGGTCTGCTGTTGGTGGCGCTCAACGGCATGAAGCAAAACACGAGCATCGCCGTAAATCGGAGTTTCGAGATCCGAAAGCCTCTGAGCGGCATCAGCCTCGCCGGGGCCATCGGGATGGGCGAGAAAATCGAACAGTTGAGATGGCCTATCACTATGGCGGTCTTGAGCGCTCTACTCGTCCTCTGTGTGGTTCTGGTGGTCGGTGTCGCGCGACACTCCAGATGCGTCCTCATAACGTACGTGCCATATGAAAAAGAGGCAGTTTAATCCGTTCACTGTGCGCTAGACAAAGTCTCTCACGGTATTTCGCTGCTCACTTCGGCCGCTTGTAAACGAGAAAGAAGCGCGAAATTTCCACGGAATTCGAGAGACCGATTGTGTTTCTTCTCTGTAAGCGCGTCACGCAATCACGACGACGACGACGACGACGACGAGAAGTCGTTGGGATGCGAATCGTTCTAATGGGGCTCTCTTTCAGATTCTCCGTGTTCGGCTTGTTCGCCGTGATCGTCTCTTGGCTCATGGCGTCCTTATACCTGGCCACTTCTGTAGCTCTAGGTGATCTCTGCGTATCGCCGGACGGCTATCTGAGCAGAGCGGTGCCGTCGACCTTAGCCTCCGAGGTGCTCTCGTATTACACCCACTGCGAGAACACGCGCAGCAATCCGTTCACGCAGAGATTGCGGGACGGTCAGCGCGCGGTAGGCAACATGAGGCACAATTTGAACACTGTGACTCGATTAGCGATAGAGCTGTTCAAAGACCAGCAACTCCAGCCGAAACTCAGCAGCCTGTCCACGGACGTTAATACCGTGGATAAACTCGTGTCAGGCTTAGCCACGTTGCTCGATTGTAAGCCTCTCCACAAGCAATACGTTCATGCCGCTAAGAGCTTATGCCACTTGGGACTGTAAGTTGATGTCTATTCTTCTTGCGTATGTGTGTTTGTACCAGGGACCCGGACCGGAATCGAGGACCGTGTGAAAACCGGTACTTTCATTGTTCATTCCAGAGAAACGAAACCTTTATTAAATATTTTCATTCTGCCCGGGTCCCTAGTTTATACCGTAGCTAAAAGAGAGATCGAGCGATCACCTTTACATTCATTAAATAACAGGTATATAAATATCTAATATTCTCTGTGATTTGCGTTCCAGGTATGGATTAACTTTTATGCTACTAGCCAGTTTAGCCGCGGGTCTCTTTTTCACCATACTGGTTTGGGTGGATTCTCATACGTGGATATATATCCGAAAGCGGTATGCGCCAGTTGCCTCTGCCATTCTCACTCAACGCGCTCCGTTCAATGCAAATACGTCATTATTACTGACGAACTCTCTCAGTAATTGTCTGAAATTTTATCGAGCTTGAAACTACGAAAATTCCAGTGATATAAATATCTACTTGAACATAATGTTACTCGTTATTTCCAGTCAGATATTTCTTGGTATTAACGTTAACGGAAATTCACCGAGATAATTGTAGTTGTGCTTTTCAATCGACTCGTGCGAGAGTTGCGTGTGCAGAATCAAGTGCCTAGGCGGAGGGTTTAAACAAACCGTAACCGGCGATACGTTTGTTCCAGAAGGGATTACCATCAAGTCGACGAGCAAGATCCTTACTTGCCACCGTCAGCGGCTTCGCAGGCGATAGCAGCGCGGACCCTTCGAGGCCAAGGGTCGTACCCGCCTACAGCCCCTCCGCTTAATTCGAATGCTCTTGGCACTCATAATACGATTAAGCAGCCTCTCTTGCTAACGCCGCCCCCACCGTCCTACGCTACTGCGACTGCTCGAGCACGTCAACTGCACGAGAGCATGCTAAAGTTTGTGCATGAGACTTTCAGTTTTATTCTTTTTCGTTTGTTGTTAGCTATGTTGAATCGGAAAAAGGAAAAAAAAACGTCAAGTCGCGTGAAATACCGTCGATTAGGTTTGTCTTCTCTGAATGTCGCTTTAATCATGTATATCATTCCGCGCCGCCAAGGATAACAGATCGCGACGCAGTTATTTACATAGCAAACGCTTCTTCTAACGATTGTGCGTGACGAGACATCATTTTCTCGGCATTGATTTTATCTTTGATGTTCTGATTGTTTGGATATTTCGATATATTTTTGCAGCCTAAGAAGTATTGAGACAGACTGAATATATATATATATATATATATAACCGAAAAATATATATATGTATTGTTCTCTCTGCGAGAGTTTTATTAATTGCTTTTACACAATATTTATTATTATTATTGACGATAGTATATAGCGCGCTTTCTTGTTTTATCCTTCGTCAACATAAACACAATGTTATAGACTGAACTTGCAGACGTGATTGAACTTGGATTTATGTTTAGATAAGCTAAACAATACCGGCCTACTGTCTAAAACTAAGATAATGCTGCAACTTGGTTTGTCTTTCATCGCCATTTACAGAGGTGGGGGTGTTAATGGGAGCGGAGGAGGCGGGGATCACAAATCGTCTCAGCATAATCAGCAATCAACGGGCGGACGGGCTGAGCACCGTTCTGGACTCGGAGATCAACCTGGCCAGTACGCGACTCTGAGCAAACAGTGCAAGACTCTAGAATCGAGTGATTTCTACTGAGGGCACGCCCCCGCAGGGCCCGGTGAGCGAATTAGAATTAGTGTAGCGTAATAATGTTTACATATTCGTGTCTCTCTTTCTTCCTTCCTTTCTCTCTTTCTCTCCTTTTCTCCCTTCTTCCTCTTTTATCGAGAGGATCCTCCATTAAAGCGATTTGAGTTGCAATCGTCCCTTATCCGGTAACGTCGGAAACGAGAAAACGAGAAAACGAATATCAAGAAATTCCCGCGTTATACGTTCGAATAGAAAGACTCACAAAGTGACTTCATATTACAGGTAGAGAACCACCTTGGACGCCCAGCGTGGCGTCCTTCACCGGTACCCTGTCTCACAATTCGCACGGGCCCGCTCATCTCGCTACCTTCCAAGACTCTCGGAAGACGCAGACGCTGGACCCGAAGAACCTGACGAGTCTCAAGAGGGGCCCGACTCCGGCGTGGAATCAGAACCGGCCGCTACCGCCGAATCCTACGAGCCAGCCGACGTGGGAGTTCGAGTCGCGCTCGCAGACCAACATGAATCAGTTCCGGTCGTTAGTGAGAAACAAGGCGCCTAACATTCGCATTCAGGATCAGATGCAGGATCAGGTCAGAACTTTGGACAGAAATTTCTCGCGTAGCCAGTTCAACGGTAGCGCGCAGAACAATACGACGGTGCCGAATATGTACGGTACGTATAATCGGGCGCAGGGAAGGCAAGAGAAGCCGACAGTGGCCACACTGAGCCAGGTACAGGGTAGCGATCCTAATCTGTATGCTGTAACGGAACTCTAATCGTATGATCGGAAAAGGGCGGAAGAGAGAGAGAGAGAGACTACGTGACATCGTGAAGCGGATCACTTCAACCGTCATAAACGTCGTGAGGCACATCGTGAATATTCGCAGCATGCAGAGTATACAGAGTAAGAGCGTCAACATGTTACCAAGAGTCGTCTTTCAATAGAGCTAGAATCGTGCGATTCGGAGTTCCTATAAAAAAAAAGAAATGGCAAACTGATGATCGTCGGGTTTGATTTGCGATAAAAGTGAGAGAAGTCGGGGGCGAAAAGAGAGAGAGAGAGAGAAAGAAAGAGTTTAGAATACTGTGTGTACCAGGGAACTCTTATGCTTAAGACACACACACAGACACTTTATATCCGAGATTTTGTACTTGTATATCATGTACAGTGATCGTGGTAGGTCCTTCTTCTTCTTCTTCTGCGTTATCGTCTTTCTCTGTTGTTGTTGCCCGCGTTCTACTTGGGTTGGATTTGCGCAGAGCGTAAAGTGTGTCGTACATCCAGCAATAGACGGGACATACGGGATATTTAATGCAGTGCCACGTATTTATTGCTTGTCGAGCCGGAGAAGAGCTGCACGAACGAATAAGCACAAACAAGCCTTTCTCACGACGGGAAGCTTTCTTTGGCCGTCGACATCGATCGTTTACAGAGAGAGATACCACTCGCTTCATTCATTCTGAAATTAATTGAGCCGTTAATTTCGTACGTTCTATATACTTAACTTAGGAGCTAGGGATATATATATATATATACGTATTAATACGAATTGAAAGAAATACCAAAATACACATAACGAGATGGGAATAGCGAGTTACGGTTTTTTATATATACTTTTTACATTTTAATCTCTTTCTCGGAACTCGATATCCGCAAGGCGAATCTACATACGTTGACTTTTTCTGTGAGATTTTGTACACTTTGTAATGTGTATGCGAAACGTATACATCTAGTTGCCGCACGAATGACTGGTAATTTTTACGAGATTATATATATATATATATATCGGCAAATTGGCAGGTACTTGATCGATCGTACGAGGGTACACCCGCGACATACTGCCAATGCGCTCAGGCGAATATACTTTTTAAGTACAAAACCATGGTGGTAGCACAGGTGTTACGTAGGTTTTTCAGTTTTTATATGAAGAACAGGCGTCTAAGTGGTATCGGTATGTGTGTGTGTGAGAGAGAGAGAGAGAGAGAGAGAGAGAGTGAGAGTGAGAGTGAGAAACGATTGAGAATATATTGGAAAATATTACTTCCATACTAAGGCGGTACTTCGGTTGACAACGTACGAAGACGTACTATCTATCTAGAGGGAAAAACGGAAAAATGAATCTATCGCAAAGGTTGAATCTTATTATACTTTGTAAGGTGGCCGAGAGTGAATTTTCTGCGGAGTGCAGTCTTCCTGAGACATTCTACGTAATAGAACTAGAGATATACTGGGTACCCGGCAATTATTCGGTATACTCGTAAAATCGGCTCTTATATCTCGTTGGCGTCGGTTGGCTGAAAACCGACGACGGACGGACAGTGGGACCGACGAAGGACGTGCAGAACATGTGATGAGAGAGAGAGAGAGAGAGAGAGAGGCATTGGGTTTTTTTTTTCTCGCGGACTACAGGCGGATTTTCTAAAGTTTTTTAAACGTAGCTTTCACAAGCACACAACGATTCCGCTCGCGGGGAATGTTGTTAGAATCATATATACATTTGGATCGTGGACACTGTTTAATAATAATAGGAGGTTTGTTACACGCCTAGGATAAGCACGTAATTCAGTTCCGATATCGAGGAGCGACTCTGTGTGCCTGAATAATAGCCGGTCGGACGAATGTTGTTTACTCGTGCAAGTATTCAGCGTTCGGGTTGGCGAGTTGTCCCTTGATTCCACGGACGTCCGATTTCCAGTATCCGGTACGTCTCTAAAGGTGCCTTTTCATGCCGACGCTCGACGCTCATTTCTAGCGTCAAAATGGGTCACTTTGATCGAGGTTGCTGTGTTGGATGGTGAGAAAACGCGGCGAAAAGAATACAGCAGCGTCGAATTTCGAACATTACGGCGCGTCACTCGCGCATAGTTTCTCTCTGAAAAAATATGTCATTCCGAGGTAGTGTAATGTGGTTATAAGAGAGATCGTATAGAAAAAATAATAGAATATAATGAGCAATATAAGACATTTGAATGTCCGTATTGGTGGTTTACGTGACGTGACGTATCGACGAAGTAATATTAAACGCTAAAACTACCAAAGCGATCAAATGACCGGTTTGTAATTTTTTCTTATGAAAGTTATCCGGTATAAATATCTGGATAAGGCGTATTAAGAGAGTATTAATTTTATTTAATTTACGGTTGCCCCACGATGTATTTTCTATCGATATGCACGTAAACTTGCAATGAAGTATATTAAATATTGTGGCGAAACTGCATTTCTGCAGTTATCATTTATGCTGATTCAACACAAATTTGTATTTGACGAAATTCTCCCGTACACCAAATTCCAAAAGCCAATAGTCTTTGGTATCACCTCGTCGGTGAGCGACGCCAGAAGTTGAATAAAATCCAACTTCTTTGTTTTTTTTATGCTAACGTCAGATTAAAATCACGTGACCGCGTTCGACGCTGCTACGAACGTCTCATGAATTGGGCACCTTAATTGATATTACCTAAAGATTTGTGAGAGTTGGGATTATAGACTTTCGGCAAAATTGCAAAATGACTCTTTATACTCGCATCCGCATATAATTCAGTAAGTCTGTATATAAACTGATAACTCTTAAGATTATCGAGTAAACGTGAAGTGTGATAAATCGAATCTAGATGTTATGCGAATTTGTCAGCGAGAGAGAGAGAGAAAGAGAGAACATTTTGTTATTTCGGTTGACGGTCTGATATGACTTCGAACGCGTTGAATCCCGAAATAAGTGGAACGACAAATCGTGCCATTCCAAGTAACACTTGCATTTATCGCAATTACTTTCCAGAGGTTTCTTAGGATTTGTGTGTCTCTTGTAAAACGATTATATATAATCGCAAATATCTCAAATATTACGAGGGAGGAGCGCGAATATAGAAACGGGGAACTTACTTGACCCATTGTAAATAATTGTAATATTTATTACCGAGCGCGACAGCTCATAGACTAGTAGGGTATAATTATAGTTTAGTTAATTGCTAATTTAAGTTCCGACGATAAATAGTAAATATATATATATATATATATGTACACGCGGCTTACCAACCGCGTGCGCGTAAGACGAAATAAATATCGTTTTGTTCACTTCGGAGGTGAAGTACCCTAGTCAGTATATAAAGAGTTATGTACATTCAAGATAGCAAATGAAAGAAAGATCTCTTGCCAAATTTTTAACACGGCTCAATTTTTAAAACGAAAAAAAAAATAGAGAGAACCGCTCTTTCGTCTCGAATATTTGTATAACGCGCAACACTATTAAATACCTATGGAAAAGCTATGTTAGTGCGTCATCTCATCATCCAAATATATGTTCTAGACTTAAGGAGAGGAATTACTTATTGAGAGAAAGTATACAAAGACGGATCCGACTTTAGTGTTTCTTTTTTTAATGGAACGCGAGATATGCGCTGTATTCGTCATTATGAATACGTACTCGTACTTACTTCCCCCTTTTTTTTTCCTTCTTTCTCTCTGCGAAGAGTAGAAGAGAATAGCTTTATGTTTTATCTTCCAATTGTACGACATATATTAAATTTGCATTGAGTAAAGGTTTGTTTGTCAAAATCCACATAACGAGAAATTGAAGTCGTCCTTCTTCATCCCTCTCTCGTGTAACCTGTTTTTTTTGCGACTCACGAGATCTCGAAAGTGAAAGATACCTTCAAAGATGCCTGACGGGGAAACACGACAATTCTGCTTCTGTTGTTTGCGATTTTACAGTAAAGCACGCAAATGGGATCAATATAGTATTGTCCAGATCGAGAAAGCCGCAAAAGTCGAGAAATAAATGTCGTTCGCCACAGTAGCGACGCAAGTCTTCACAATTCAATATTTCTCTTTGTAAGTGGTGGAGGGGGGGGGGGAGTCGATAAGGAACCGAACGAAACCGGTGACGGGGAGGCCGCTTTACGCGCGACCGAAGGACACGTTTAATACATATGTTTCAAAATACCATAGAACACGGGAAGTATTGTTAAACTTTTAATAGGCGAATGTATGACTAGACGACTATTTAACGACAATTTTCACAGTGTCGAGACGACGACGGTCTGAGGCACACGTTAGGAGTTGCCGAACAAGTATAATTGCGTTTGAGTTTCGCATCATTTTTATATACGACGATAAACATAATATATACGGTGTATGAAAGCGAGAGAAGAATATCTGCATGAGAGAGAGAGAGAGAGAGAGAACACGAATGAAAAGGGATGGGTGTTGAGAGATGTGAGAATGCGCGTGTATATGCATGCGTCTAATACAAATCTATGTGTCTATATGTGTCTATGAGAGAAAGAAGAATGGAAGCATGACAGGAAAGAGAGAGAGTGAATGAATGTAAGAGAATGTGTGTGTATGAGAGAGAGAGAGAGAGAGAGAGAGAATGGGGATTCTTTATTTTTGGAAATAACAGAGGAGTGTGGTGTAATAATGATACAACGTAAAGGAATTTGTTTAAGTTGACGCATCTCTTCTTGGCCTACCGGCAACCTTTAATCGCAGATTAAGGCAAATAGTTGATAAACGGTGAAAATCAAAAAAAGGATTCCCGGGGATCTGGTTGAATGCTATTGTACATCGATACGGATGTGGTTGTACGTGTTGAGAGACCTAAGCTTTTGTGCACCCTTTAAGACTGATATTGGATGTACCAGGGAAGATCCAGGGCTCTAAAGTTTTTTCGTATATACATATATATATATATTCGTATATTACAATAAATGTTGAGTCTTTTACGATATTCGGTATGGTGCACAAGGTGTTCCCTTCCGTGTGAAATTGCACCATCCTGGCGGCGTGTCAGCGGCCCGAACTCGCGGAATCTCTCTGAAAAAAGCGCGTAGTCTTAAGAAGAAAAAAAAGAAAGAAATAGTGCAACTTCACACGGCAAGACACGTTTGCGACACTTTGTGTATGCGACGTTTTTTTTTCTGCCGCGCACGTTTCTCAGGCGGTATCCATTTCTCTTTCGTTTGGTATTTTGTCCTTTTTTCACTTCCATTTCCAATGTACTCTTCTTGCTGTATACTTCTGACTATTGGTAGAACCGTAGATGTGGTACGCGTGTGTGTATGCGTGTGTACACGCGCGCGCGTGCACACACACATGTACAGTTATTTATTTTTCTCTTTTTTGCGTATGCATCTTCCTTTTGCCGCGCGCGCGCGGAAGAAGAAATAAAATTTATTTACGAAGTATGTAGAGGCTAATTCATAAACTTACGTAAGTTGGTAATATTCTGTCGTGTCTTTCGTTGTATGTGCGATTACGTGAAGTATTTCAATGTATTATAAAGAGGCTTTTATCTCAAAAGCGCATAACAAACAACGGAAAACAGACGAAACTTGTTAATCGATATCAATTTTTTGTATATTACGATTGTGTATAATAATTGCCATATGCCGGATTTAATTCCTCCTATTGTAACGGAACATTAATATTATAAAAAGAGAAATAAAAATACCCTATGATCCACAATTATGTATATATAAATAAATATCACGCTAAGATATAATCACCGACTAGTAGAAAGCGCATCGATATATTTTTTTCAAAAGGAGGGAGAAAGGAAAGCAGAGTTAATCTAGATATTTTATATTATTTATTTATTAGCAATACTTTATTACAACAGTTTGGTACATAAATATACATGCTGCTTGATTTCTCCTCATTCTCAATATTTCTCAACAATTTACGAATATCTCCTAATGCGATATAATTTGTTTATTAATATTATAATCATTGCAATATTTTATTTTATCTTGATTTCATTATGGATTACATGGTACAAGGGCAATAATATATAGTTCATTCTTTCTCTCATTTAGATGTGAATATAAATTTCTTTGGCGTGTCATCGTTTGTATCTTTCAAATACCGTCGCACCACTTCTTGCTTGATTCATCTTTGCTCACTCACGTTCAAGTTTTTGCTCTTTAAAACTGCTTATGTAAGATTCGATGCATGCAATATCTTTCATATATAAAGTGTAATTACATTATATACAGGCCCACTTCTTGCAAAACAAAAAAACCTTCCAAGGTCAGGTGCCTAAGAAATTTGGAAATAAAAGTTCTAACACGAAAAATATCGAGGCTATAATCAACACAAATAACAAACATTACAGTTTTCACGAAAAGTTTTTAGACTTTAAATTGCTCGTCAGATTTCTCGGAATAATATATTAGAACATTTACGCCAAAGTTCTAATCGTGAATTTTAAATGTGAAGATTATATCGCGGTCACAGAACACTCGGTTCTGAGCCAATAGAAAAACTTGCATACCGAGTATATAAAACATAAGATTTTTTTAAGGGAAACAAATTTTTTTATTTTAACAATTTTTAATAATATTGTTAAGTAAAATAAATATGCTGTAGGTATGTGAAGGAGTGTACAACGTATTGTTAAACTTCAAGTTAATTTATTTTTCAAGCTAAATTTTTAAAAATAAAAAGAACAATATATATTATAATACACATGAATGATTAAAAGAATTTTGACTAGTAAACGCATGTTATCCGCGTGTCTCCCCTTCAAGTATGATAACATATCCGATCAAAATATATATCAATAACAAGATCCACATTACTGTCACAAAATGTTTTGTCCCAATATGAACGATTGTGTTCTATTTAAAATAATCCTTTAAATAACAACTTCCGTTTAATACATATCTCTCGTCACTCTTAATTTTTCACGTTAAATTATTTTTATACCAATGTGTCTACATTCATATTATTATAGTTTATATAAAATAATGGCATGTTTATCATTATACAATCTATAAGAAAGGTTTCACATGATTCCAGAGTCATAATAGAAACAATTCACATCTTTCTTAAATATTAACAACATTTGGATGTAACTTGATAACACGATAGTGAAGAGAAGCACAGGGAATAAAAAGAAAAAAATATCTTTTCCTGAGTTTTAATGAAAAAAAATATATATACTTATATTTACCCCGCCTGAATAATTATTATACAATTATGTGGATCAATTTCGCGATTTTTCCATGTTGATTGTTCGTAACGCGAGAAGCGATCGATTCTCCTTTTACCTTTTACAAATTGTAAACGTCAACAAAGCTATCAAAGTGTCACGGCTGCGTTGAAGCGTCTCGTTGTTTCTTCCTCGGCCAATCAATAGTCGCGATGAACACATATCTAGAAATGGATGCGCAGGTAGAAAATATCTCGAATTCCCCTCGATCTGATGTTCCCGCCTAATGTACTGCACCGAAACGCGAAAACTTTAGCCACTCTGTCGCGGACCAACTTTAACAGTTTATTATTTAAGAACTATTATAGAGCCTCGATATATTTTCCGCATTAATATTTTTACCTTCTAAGTTACCTAAAGTATCCGGCCTTGAGAGATCCCGCGTGAGAGATGGGTCATCCTGTATATATTACAGTCCGTTACACATCATATCTCGTTGCAGTTTGTCGTGCTTGAGAAGGAAACTTAACGAGCTGCGGAAAGATTAATTCGGCGCGAGTAAAGCTTAAATGATGATAGCAGCGAAAAAAGAGAGAGAGAGAGAGAGAGAGAGAGAGAGAGAGAGAGAGAGAGAGAGAAGCTGTCCGTATATAGTTGAGTGATTGCGTGTAACGGCGATAAGCGCATTATAACTTATACGTAGTCCTTTTTTTAGCAATAAATAATTTTATTCACTACATATAGGCACAAAAATCGTGAGAGTATGTCGCGATAAAACTATTCATTGTTAAGTAAGTTTCACGCGTAACATTACGACACGCCCTTTTCCAATCACCACACACGCGCGCGCGCGCACTCACACACACACACACACACACACACACACACACACACACACAGAGGCGAATCGATATTAACAAAACGAGGAGAAAAAGATTAACGATTCAAGAAGAGACTTTCTTCCGACTATTGTGCTGCGAGAGGTATCTCAGGTGTCAAGTTGGTTTTGTTATTATGTACGCAACTTATCGTAAAAGCGACATTGCTACGTGTATCAGTCTAATAAGTACATGGGGCCGTCCCATGGCATTAAGTCGCGATCGCTTTGGAATAACAAATCGCCCGGCTCGGCGAGATTTCCACGCTAAATCGGCCTCGCTCGCGCATTCTAAATACGTAAAAGTGAACATTCCCGAAGAAGAGAAAGAGAAACAGTCGACGAAAATAGCATCAGCAGAAAGCGAGGAGAAAATTAAACCGGCTTGCTCGCTCCCAGCACGATCCTTGCCGCGCGAGTGACGATCGGATGTTCCTCGCGAATAATACAAAGACCCATTATAACCCGTTGGAGAGAACGTTTTACGGCCGGCGATTCGGCTCCCGCGGCGAACAGTGATCTCGCTCGAGAACAATGTGCTCTCGATGGGCGAAACGGTGAAAGGATGGTACCAGGATTGTTCACTACGACTTGACCGGGCCGGTCTCTTCCTTCACATGGTGTTGGACACAGGCGTTGCTTATCAGAGGCATGCTCTTACCGCTCTGCAGGCTGGAATGGCTGGACGAGCGACTGTGGCTCTGACTGCCGGCGCCGACCGGCGTTTGCACCAACGGCTGCGGCGGCGTCCTCGCGCCCGAACCGTTGCTGTTCGTGAAATTCGGTTGCAGCTGCATGTGGTACTTGTAGATATTCTCCGTACTTTCCACGACACCTGTTCGACAACGGGACATGATGCGAATATACCGTCGATTTGCCGATGAGAAAGACGGAGGATTATCGTTATGTTATTCGCGCTCACCAGCTTGCAGGTTCAGGCTGCGACCACGCACGCCGGTCTCCTTCGATGGAGGGCTCCACCAGTTGACGAAAGTCCCCACCACGGGGACGTGCCGGAGGATACCCTCCTGCCACAGTTTCTCCGCGTTTTCCCTCTCCAGGTCGATCTGCGCCGTCTCGATGCCCCTCTTCACCACCTCGGATATGGTGTCCAACATTTTCGAGCTGGCCTCCACCTCTTGGCCAACGTGCAAGACCAGAGACAACAGTTCGGCCACGTCTGCAAATAACAATAGCACGGTGACGTGACGTTTGATGACGAACAGGACGAAAGGACACGTTCGCGTAGGACACTACAGCTATGCTCAAGGCTCCGGAATAGTCGCTGTGACTAGTCTTTGTTTAACGTCAGAAGCGAGAAAACGTACGGCAAGACTCGTCGCATTATACTTTCAAATCGATTGTTCGAACAAAAGAAAAGTGTCGGTCCGGTTTTACAAGCTCGCCGAATCGATCAGAAATGTCACTTAGTGGATAGCGTCTTTTTATTCAAAAGTATAAGGCGAAAAGGTCTCCTCGCTTCTGACGTGATTAAACAAGGACAAAGTCACGACGACGGCACCCACCCACCTGTATCCTGCGTCACCATGCCGAATCGCACGCAGGCCAAACCGTCCGCGCCTTCCCCGAGGGAAAACGCGGCGTCGGTGCTGCGCAGAGTCTCGACCAGCTGGGTGTTCAGTCGGTTCAGTTCTTCCTTCGCCTGATCGGTCATCACGTGAATCCACGTAGGTGGAGCGTAACGCACGCCTCCCAGACCCGCCCAGCCCGGCATTTCCACCAGATGCAACGAATCGTTCTCCGAGACTAAACGTACGAAGGTGTCTTTATGCTCCACAGTTGCTAGCAATATTTCCTATATCCAATGAAATTGCGACATAATTATTGACTAATCTCTCCCACCGTGCGTTAATAACGATCATAATATATTCGCACGCTTATATGCATCGTGTATTGTTAACGCGTTAAATGAGAGTTGAAAAGCTTAAGATTAAACGTGCAGATTAATTAAAAGCAACGTCTAAGTTAAGTAAATTAATTAGAAACGTTAATTAAAGTTTGTAACCGGAAGCGAATGAAACAATTGCAAATTGATGAAAAACCTTCACACGAGAGTGTAAATTAATCGTGAACGTTTATACGAGAGTGTAAATCAAAAATGTTCGCGCGAGAGTGAAGATTAATGAAAGATAACTGTGTGAATTATCCGTAGAAGCGAAATGAATGAAGAAATTACCATGTTTATCGTTATACTTTCGGGGATTCGATGTGATTAAAGAGATGTACTTACTATTTGCTGTTCAAGACAAGTCACCAGATTGTCTATGTCCTCGGTCGTTGGCGGCCGATCGGGGTTCTCCAATGGGCATATACGGATCGCCACGCCGCACTGTTCTATATCACAAAGCTCGATTTGTACATTATCGATGTCCCTCTGAAGGATCTGCCCCAACCAAGAGTTCAGCTTGTCGTAATAGGGTAGCACGCGTTCCGTAGTCTGGAGATCCTTGTTCGCAGGTACGAATTGGAAAACCAACGAGTTCGCCACCACCTCGAACAACTGTAGATTGTTCACGGGATTCGCCAGATAATCGTTTATCGTGTAAGACTCCGTCTCACCACCTGGCGGCTGGCTCTGAAAAGGTAAGAACGGATGTCGATCGATGCCACCCGTCGTCACATACCGCGAGTACACCCTTATATTCGTACTGTTAACGTTAACCGTGAAACTTGAAAATTTAAAATTGAATGTATAAATTAATTAAAAGCAACGTGTAAGTTATGTAAATTAATTAAGAATACCAATTAAAATTTCTTAATTATACAAGCAAATGAGACAATTGTGAATCAATTAAAAACCTTTACACGTAAGAAAGAACTTACCAATATTCTAATACAAGAGAATTCTTTAATCTTATTGTACAATTCCTCCACAGCCAGAAAGCACCTCTTAAATCTGTTATGCACACCGTCCCGACCTAAGATCTGCAAAACAGCCCACAAAGGTAGGGTCGGCAAACGTCTCGACAGTGAATCTGCCATCAGTCCGGAAACTAGCGATAACGTGGTATCTCTGGGAGTGGGCCTGCCTCCTTTGATATCGGCTAATCTATATAATGTCTACACAAGTTAGAGTTAAAGGAAATTGAAGATTAGATCAGTCGATGTTGTTACTCGAGAAATGTGCCAAACTACCTAAAAAAGGATGTTATATAAATATTATACAAATACAAAAAATATCAACGGGCGAGGATCTGATCGATATAAAAATGAGTATATTATCGGAAAATTACAATACGAAAATCAGAAATATGTTAAGCATATCATTGAAATATAAAAAAGTCAAGCTCCTGATATTATGCTCAATGTCTTAAAAGTTAGAATACCGTCGGTCGAACATCAGTTCAAGCAAAAAAAAGAAAAAAAAAAGAAAATTAGAAAACATCGTTAAGCGATGAGTAACACGGTAGATTATTTTCGTGTTCCAACTACATATCATATCACATTCAGGTGGAAGAAATCGAAGCAAGTTTTGAAACACACCTGGCCAATTGTAAAAAGGATACAACCACCGGTAGTGAAGGTATACCCAGCCAAATTCCGAGCGGTAACGTAATGCTATCCGCTATTTTCGACGGCTGCAACAGACACAAATTTTTTCCAAAATTTCAATATGCCATCTGGCAATGACGGGAAGAACCTCTGAACTTCGTTACAACAAAACGTGAGAATAATCACCAGATCCTTCGCCGAATTGTTCAATACGAGCGCGGCTAACGAGTGCCCTCTTAGATGCAACCAGACGTTGTACTTGTCGCATATCGCTCGTAATCGGGTGATATTGTCGCAATGGCCTGTCAACACCGAGCCAGCCTCGGCCAAGACCAACAACGGTGTTACATTATTCGACTGCGTATCTTCCGCTAAACGTCGTTCCAACGCCGAGATGTCCATAGTATGCCTCGAACCAAACATGGTATTATGTGGGATCGGCCTTATGCAGTGAAGCGGTAAGGAGAGCTGCCGAAACATCACGAATTTTTACCATCTTAAGAGCCTCAATCAATAGCTTTCGAATCTCTCTTCTACGATATTTCGTTACACAACATTAAAACGTAAAAAAGAAGAAAACTCAAATTAATAATCTGACAAACGCGACTTACTTACAAATTTAATAACAAATACATTTAATCAACAGATTATCGTTTCTGATCAACAATTGAGATACTAATTCCTCTGTCGAAATTTAATCGCATGCTTTGGCTATATTTCCTCGCGGTAACTCGCAGGACTTTTCATCAGTCCTCCGTTAGTCGCGATATTTTTCACCCACGAATGGTCATGGTGCCTAGCCCATTGGATATTGCAACCGACAGAGAATTAAAGAGAGTTGTCAGTTACAGGCTTGAAAGTAGAAAATGAACGACGATATTACCTGCCGGCACAAATGTTGAACAACGCCCAAGGGTGCGGCGACAGAGCTGTAAATCAAGGGTGGCATAGACGCGAGCGCGGAGAAGCCCTCCTCCATGTACCTGGGGTACTTTCGGTGCAAGGCCAAACGTGTCACTCTGACCAGACCCTCCAGGTGATCCTCGTGGAAGGACGACGCGCAATCGACGAAGCGGAAGATGTGACTGAGCCATCTCGTCGTGTCGGCTGCCAAACGACCGGCAAGCTTTTGCGCGTGCTGTTTTGGTAGCGCCACAGCGTAAGCTGAAACGGTGTGCGTGACTAAGGCCAATTTCGCCGCATCGGTTAAAACCGGTAGTGCGGTAACCTGGCTGGCCGGTGTGTCCGTAGAACCAACTTCTGCTGGTTGCGGGGCGTCCTCGTGAAGCACCAAGTCCTGAGCAACGGGAAAATCATCGATCTAACTAATCTAATTCGTGTAAATATTTTTATCTTAAGATTCTCACTATTAACTTTTCAAGGTGAATTTTCACCCTACGATTTTCAATCTACAAGGTGCATTTTCTCACATGTCCAGGAGAACGGGGTCGGATCCGACCCCACGCTCTGTTTCGTTCATTTTTCATGTAACCTATGCGCGGAGTGGATGAAGGAAGTAAATGATAACACGAAACGTTCCTTAAGAAGAGGAACACAGCGTGTGCGAGATGTAAAATAAACAAGCCATGGTATCGCATCTGACTTGCGGTTAGAGAGTTAACGTCAAGAGAGTTAAGATCAACTGTTATAAATATGTTTCTCTCATAATAGGATATTATTTCCTCTTCTCCCTCTTGCTTTATGATGAATTTCAATTCGAGAAGAACGATGTTTCTCGAGCGTTCAACGTCACACACATATAAATGATACAAATTTCCGAAGTTGACAGTTATGACGCAGGTACAAATATTCCATCTAGCTCCGCAGCTGTGTCAACTGTGCTACTTGCTAGAAAACCTCGGCGATTGTCAGAGAGCAAGGCTTACGCTTTCTGCGACAATTCGATCGTTACTGTGAGTACAAACAACACAAAACATTCCCGTCAAATTCTCATATTTCTTACAATCACGTATTTATAATCACATCTCTCCACATACACGTGTAATACCTTTAATTACGTAACAACAGAAGAGGTACGAAGCGTCAATCGCGCGGTCCGACAGAAGCAAGAATTTTTCTTTCGCGCCTTTGAACACTTCCGGTCACGGTCGTTTTGCCATTCGACACACACACAGAAAGAAAAGCGAAAACCGGGCGTGAGACAAGTGTGCGACCAAATTCATATTCATCGCACACGCCGACGTCAGACGCGCCGTCATGCCGCGACACACAAACTCCGACGCGACCACGTGACGACGACTAATTATCGAGACCGTCGCGCTACCGCGAGGGGCCAACGGGCGACGCGTTTCAACGGGAGCCGCGCGACCAATCGCGCGTGCCCAATGGCCTCTTGGTTTGGCGCAGCCGAACTCTCTCTCTCTCTCTCTCTCTCACCTGTATCAGCGCCAATATCTCGTCCGGTTTTTTCGGTTGCGACAGGAATCCCGAGGGATTGTTCCACGTGCTGCCGTCGCAGCCGCCGCCTCCACCACCTCCACCGTCGGCCGCCCGTTCCACCGCCTGTTCCAGCCGCGAGATCACCTGGGACGCTTGAAACTGCAGCGCGCCCACTTCGTTCAGCGCGGACGGGCCACCTTCTCCGGCACTGACCTGTCAAAATCGTCAGAAGAAGAATTCTCTTTCTCTCTCTCTCTCTCACCGGTCATGAGTCGCGCGCGCTCACTCGTCGATCGTCGCGCAGCGGAGCTTGCGCGCGCGACCGCGCCGCCGGTTAATCGTATTCGCCCCGACACGCACCTCCAGCAGATTCTGCGCTAGACTTTCCATCGCCGCGTTATCGTTTGTGTCAACCTCCTCGGCCATCGTGGCAGTAGTCTTCGTGGCCGGCAGTAACGTAGCCGAGAGCCGTTCATCCGTCTCCGCGGAGGATCGATCGATCTCGTGTCCCCCCCGGGGATACTCCCTCCGAATACTCGAGCGAGGCCGAGAGATCCACGGCGGGACGCGGCCGGGATTCGCTGGGCCTTTCGAAGCTCCTCTTTATCGCAGAGAGAATCGGGGATACCGAGCGGCGCGGCAGGGGGCCCCGCGAGCGCGTGAGACGGCACTTGTCACCCGTGTGTAGCGCAGACACTGCTTCTTCTATTTCTGCGGAGAGAATACTGAGCGAGAGCGGCCATGTCGCGGGGCTTCTCGGTACGCTTCCTCCGGCGCGCCCTCTGAAGTATCGGCTGTCAAAACTCTTCGGTCGAGTCCACACTTCAGCGTTATTGATTTGTTTCGGCTGACTTTCACCGACTCAGTTAAGGCGGGGTCTACAATGAGAATTTAATGTAATCTACAATGAGTCGAATATGAGGAGAATGATCGACTATGATTGGTCAGTTTCTTAAGGCTTACAGCTTAAATTCTCATTGTAGACCCCGCTTTAGTGTCGGTCTACAATAGGTGTTTTAAGCCCTAAGCCTTGAGAAATTGACCAATCACAATCGAACGTGAGGAGAATTCATTGTAAAATTGTCTTTCTCTATTGTCATTTTTTAGACAATTCATCCACGAAGTTCTCATAATTACTCATGTGGACCCATGTAGGGAGAAAAAGGATTGAAAATTGGAACCTGACCAATCAGAACAAAGCGAGTCAAGGTCGAAGTTAGTGGACTCGTCCAGCGCCGATTTTTAATTCATAGTCCTGAAGATACGATCCACTTGAAGTTACAAACGCTCTGAAGTGCTCAATGAAAGAATATGATTGGTCTATACAGCGCTTCGAAGCATTTGCAACATGAAGTGGATGTCTACCCTGAACCTGCAATATTTGCTCCGACATAGGCTTTACATTTACGGCTACAGCAACCGTGTGCGAAAGTACTCGCTCCTGCCGGTCCTTGGTATAGTCTTATTTTGCGTTATCTTAAGGATCACAAGGATATAACATGTTTCGCCTGGTATCCCGGCAGAGACTCGGTCAATTTCGTCAATTTCACAAATGGTAAGGTCGACGAGCTTCGAATACTTGCGAACGATCAGGTTACATAACCTCACTTGCTCCATAATTATTTCAAACAATTATTCGTACCGATCGTGTGTTCAGCCTAGCTCAACAAGCGGAAACGAGCGCGGCGACAGCGAGCACAGTGCAAGCAGCACCGCCGTCGAGTGTCGACGACCCGGTCGATCCGAAAATTGATAAGATAGCTAACGATATCACCGCTCTCAACCTAATAGAAGTAGCGGAACTCAGTGATCTATTAAAGAAGAGGCTGAATCTTCCAGACGCACCCATCATGCCCATGGGAGGATTTGCAGCTGCGTCGGTTGAGGTAATCGTTGTGCTGTAATAAGAATATGTGTACGATGTTTTCTTTATAATCGGTGACGATCTATTTTAAGAATAATTTAGTACAAAAAGATGATTGTGATAGTGGTTTTTATAAACGTTGACCCATTGACTACATATACATGTATATGCATTTGTGCATGCTTGATTTTCTAACGACAAAGCAACTGAGTTCTCTAATGATTTGTTTAGGAGGTAGAAAAAGAACCACCAAAGAAAGTACAAACATCATTCTCTGTTAAGTTGATGGCATTCGATGAGAAACAGAAGATAGCTTTAATCAAAGAAGTAAAGAATCAGATGCCAGATACAAATCTCGTTCAGGTATCAAATTATTAATACTAATTAATAATACAATAAATAATGTAACTTATGAGAAACCTTACCTTATGTTTTATAAAAATAGGCCAAGAAGTTTGTCGAGAGTGCTCCTATAATAGTGCAAGCTGATATGTCAAAAGAAGATGCGGAGAAATTGAAAGAGGCATTTGTGAAGGTTGGTGCCACAATCGAGATTGTATAAATTGTACTTGCAAATATATATATATATATATGTTATACTTCTTCGCGCTCGTACGTAATTGAAATTATATCAATTTATTGCACCTTTCTGATGCTCTCCTATATTATAAAATACAGAATTGTATAACATATTCTCCATCTTTATAATGATTTCATTATTGTAGTTACAAATGGTAACATTCGATATATCGAATTAACAGATTGCGTACGGCACTCTACTCGCTCAACACGACAATTATATACACGTTTATTCGCTAACCATTTGTTTCGAGAATGCGCGAGACTTCGTTACCCTGGTAACGTAACAAGAAAATCTATTTTTAATTCCTTACGTCATTGATTAAGTCGAAGAAACCTGAAAACGAGATATCTCGTCGTCCGGCCACAACGTTCGGCTTACTAAAAACCGAGATTTCTCGTCACCCGTACGCAATGTGTTAATATAATGTTGCGTTATCGGAAGTAATTTTTTCGCCTCCCCAGGTTCGATCTTATAAAGAAATTTTTCGATTCGATTATTCTACATTCTGTCCGCCGATCTTTTCGTTACGGTCGGAATAGAGAATGGAGAATAATCTGTTAATTGTAACCTAATGCTGTACAATCCTTAGAAATTTTGAATTGAATGTTCGGCTCGGATTGAAACAAAACATTTTTTATTCAGATACCAGTTCACACAGTGATTTTCTCGGTCTTCAGCGGAAACGAGAAATACATGTCCCCTAACATAATTTATGTGCGCGAGCAAATTGATAATATCAGTCTGATATACAAGCTTGAACTTAGGAGGCGCTGCGCCAATGGCGCCTGAAAACGTCGTAACATGCATCGCACGTAACATTGAATGAATCGGCCTTCCGCGAAAATTCATCAATTCATTTCTACTATCGATACCTCCGCCATACACTGCGATCGCAATTGGCTGAAAACTTGTCACAAGTCGTGTTATGCTGAAACTATCAATCCATTTGGCTATTTGGATACTGATGTTTCTTCTCCTCCTCCATGCTGTCGTGACAGAAAAACAGAACCATTCAAGTATCCGTTACCGTTATCATCGTTCTAGTAAACTTTCTCTGTCCGCTTTTCAATACGCATTTAAGGCTTGTTACAACAGACGTAATATACCAGACGGTCTTTATAAAATAACTTAGATCTTCAAGAAGAGAAAATAAACAGATCGCTCCATAAAAACGACTCGATCAGGTTAACATCTTCAAATGAGATTCCGCGACTCGAAGGCGGACGGATTGCGAAAGGAGAACATTGGCGCACAATGGAAAGCAAAAACGGGAAAACTTTGCTGGATTACAACGGCCCGGCGATAACGGGAGATTCTGATATCAGAAATGACCAGGCTTTCGCGAACCATGTTCGCGTCAAGAGAAGTGAATCGAACGATTCTTTTTCTCCTTCACATTCCTGGGGCGGAAATGGCACGATCTATGCGTCCGACGAGTTGCTGTCCAGATTCGAAGGATCTCATGTAAACTCAAATCACAAAATTGAATCCGATATGGTCGATGCAACCACCCGGACATATTCATGGCACAAACGAGGAATCTTGTCCAAAAACGAGCGACGTAGGGAACGCGTGAAAGGAAGTACCAGACGTTCGAAATATCAGGTCGAAGCTCAAGTCAGAGGTAAAAATCGCGGTACCTCGAAGCCTTCCCGTAAGTTTCCCACGAGGAAAGTTGGTTCGGGTATGTGTATCTTTTTGTCACATGAATTTGCAGTTTTGAAAGAGAAGACTTGGCTTTTTTTTACTTATTTTTCCGCGGATTTTTTCCGTTTCTCATCTTCTTTAGGAAGAAACATAAATCAGGCGGGTTTTAATCGAACGGTGAATTTTTCCAAAAGGAATTTCTCTATCCTTGAGACATAAACCGAAAAATTCCGCGGAAAAATGGAGCAAGCGCAATGAATATTTAGTATATAATGAATATATTTTCACGTTTTCGAAATTAATATTATTTTCGCCCGTTTGTAAATGTCATATTAAAACTTATTTTTTAATTTCTCTACCATTTTTATTACCACGGTCCATAGGGCACAAAAATAAAGACACAGCAATCAATGCGCATACCAGAAAGATTGACGGATCACAGACGAAGTCGAAAAAAGGGAAAAGGGAATCTGAAAATAGCAACGGTTGGAACAGCGATGTTGGTCCTGCCGACTCTGAGAGAACACGAGCTGATGAATCGGAGACACCGATAAGTCAGAGTGATTCGGTATCATTAATTAACGATAGCAGGCCTGAAGGACAGCGTGAGGAGAACAGCGTCGTATTACCTTTCGTGCACACCGGGAAAGCGGAATTGCGAGTTCGTATCGAGAAAATCCCCAGGAACGAATCTTCGTTTATTAATCCCGACTGTTGGATGAATCATTCTACCACAATCGGTCCTTCTTCAACTACGCCAATTCAATCGAAATATGAGACAATTGTTAACACCGGTGTTACAAATTCTATATTCGCTCCAAATTTTAATTACACCGGAACTAAGAGAGAAGAAGCCGATAGTTCAATCGAGTTTGCCTCGTCGGGAATCAAAACCGATCGAAACTTGGAAGATGGGAAATACAGGCGTACGAACGAAAAACTTGTGAAATTTGCGGACGAAGATATGAATTATCACGCAAAAAGGAATCAGGGAATTACGTCGAAACGTCGTCTGCGAAGCGACAAGAACGCGACAGGATTGAAGCGCTCCAAGGACACTGGACAAATTACCGGAGGTATCAAACACGAAAGAACAACGGGAGAGAACGGGAGAAGAGCTCGTGGTAATCGCGCTGTGAGATCAATCGAGGAAATTAAGGACCTCATTGAGAAATTGGTCGTTAAGGTGACTCGCACTAACGTTTTTATACAGTACGATTTCATCGGACGGACTCTCTTCCAAGTACGTCCCAGTAAGTAAGAAACATCAAACCAATCTTTTAAGACATTGATCCCACCACGTGGATTTCATAAACATTTTGATATGATATTTTAAATAATATAAATCATAAATATTAATAATATTTTAAATGTTACATTCAAACTGTTACTTGATAATATTATATTTTTAAATATTAAAATTACGGTGTAGAAACATTATTTTTATGTTTCAGTCAAATATTGTCAACAGTAACGTTGTATGCAACATTAAGAACTACGTATTTGTAAACGTTATATATTATAAAATATCATTGTAATAACATTGTGTTAACGATTCCCTGCTTACTGGGATGATGCTCGAGGAAATTCGATTATCCGTGAAATCATTTCGTCGTTGAAATTTTGTCACTCGAGGAATTTCATTCAATCCGTTTCATTTCTCCACTGTAACAAGAAGTAGTGAAAATTGTATTTTAGTTGAGCGAACGTCACGAACGTCACGACCGGTGAAAGATCTCGAATTTGTGTCTCGTATCACCGAGTTCTGTGAGAAATATTTATCCGCATTTTATACATTGCTCTGTGCAATTCGTTTCAAGGTGAATGAATTACAAATTTACGTGAGCAACCAAAGCGAAACTCCACGCACGACGGATCCTTGCGGCGGTAAGAAGGCAGCTCGAGTAGCGAGGCTCTCAAGGAACTCGAATTACAAGTCCGAATTTATACGAGACACCGGCGATCGCTTGACGAACAACCGAGAAGAAAGAGCCTTCCGAGTGGCTGCCGGGGCCTCGAGAGTCAAGCGAGCGAATTCCCGGAGCAGGAGGAAGTTGCTTCGCAAATGGGACAGGTGGACAGACTGGAGCAGTTGCAGTGTCACCTGCGGCAAAGGCCGGCAGATCAGGTGGAGGCATTGCTTGCGCGATTGCGACGACGCGGAGATCGAGATGGCGGAGAAAGCTTGCCAATTGCCCGCTTGCCCGCCGGGAAAGTTTCTCGGAATATTTTGATAGTCTCGCCGCTCTCCGCTTGAATAAATAGCGATGTACAAGTATCTCGCGTTTATTTATCGTGGAATCAAACCCGCTCGAAACGAGAAATTAGTCTCGAATCAAGATAGTTTCTTCACGGGTGACACATTTTCGTACAAAAGATGCGAAGAATTCGAATCACAGCGCTGCCACTCGGCCAGTCCCGAGACGAAAAAGTGGAATTAGTGACTGTTCTTCTTGAAAAGCAGAAAAGGTGGCGGAAAAAAGTGACGTCTCGCGATCAGACATCAAAATAGTGACATTTCTCGTCGAAGAGTCTGAGAATAATCGATGCTGTTTAAACAAAAAAGCAATACTCACCTTTCTAAGTTTATCTTTGGATAACTTTGGATAGCAAGTTCTTTTCATTATTATGAAAAAGATATATCTGCGAAATGACATCAATCAATTAATCGCAAAATTAATTTGAATAATTTAACCGAACCTGCTTTTCTCCAATCTCTTTTCTCACGATTTTGTCAACGTCAATCTCAAGACTACTTGTTGATTGTCAAGTAAAAGAAAAGCGTCCGTCCAATTTCACAAGCTTGCTGACTCGATCGCAGATGTTACTTCATGGATATATCGTTTTGTTTGAAAGTATAAAATCTTGGCATGCGTTCTCTCGCTTCTCGACGTCATTAAACAAGGGCAGTCATAGCGACTACTCCTTAACGGCAGCTGAGGAAAAAAGTGGCCATTGGTGACCCATTTTGGACGATAGTGAATTTTTCAGACTTGTCAAGAAAGTGACTCAAGTCACTGGCTCGTAACGCTGGAATCACGATTTCACCACCACTGCATCGGTAATGGTTGACTGAAGGGAAAATGACACAAACGATGAGATTCTTACATTTGCGATACAACATAGGCATATTATCGTCATATGAAATTCCTTTATTTGCATAACATGCGAGTGAGGTCTTTACAGAATCGATAATCCTCCTTGCTTCCTCTCTTTCTCTCTCATTCTCTCTCCCTCTCATCGGCCTTTCACCTTTAATAAACGCACACGGGTGTCACGTGATAGTATAACAAATATCGTTTGCTGTATACCCTTTATCGTCTCGTTATCAAATACACAATATATATATTATACAGGATATTTCAATCAACATCACCTCCTTCGCGCCAGTATTCACAATTAACGGGAGCGCGTTCGTTGCTTAAAGAATAAGCCTGTCACGGCTCGATCGTAGTATTCGTCGTCGTGGTCGTTCGTATGCAACGTGATGATCGTTCAGTTGTTCTCTAATATTACAAAATGTTTAACGAATATCATACAACAGCAGTAACTTTCCGTGCGACTTCGCGGTGATCCGTGGAGGCGCAGCTCTCCAACGTTCCGATACGCGTCTATATATGATTTCTCTCTCTCTTTCTTCCCCCCGTTCCAGTTAAATGGCTCGCGACTTCGCTCCCTCAGCAATCTGCACACCGCATATTATAAAATTTGATATCGTACAATATTTATAAAGCACTTTTGCTATAAATCTTTCCTTTCTATACTCATTTATTGATATTGTTCATAAGAAAAAAAAGAGAAAATATTAAAAAAGATGCTGCAGTAAAATTCGATTTACCGTTTAATTCATCTTCAATCTATCGATCAATTTAGGCGTTAACGCAAGAATCTAGATCGCGTCGCGAGTAACGGTATGTGTGATCTTTGCGTTTCATTAAGCCAGACGAAGGTAAAACGGTGCGTTCTCTATAGGCAGTACGATTGCCAAAGTACTTGACAAACGCAACTACACGTCGCGTACGCGTAACACATTTTGCTGAAGTGTCGCCACGTCGTGTCGTGTGTCCTCGATCAAAGATACGATCAAAGAGCATATCGCACTATCAACGTAGCACTTATATCTCTCTCCTTTTGTTTTGTCTTTTTGGCGAATATAAGTAATCTAGTAAACGCACAACTATCGAGACCGCTCTCGTAAATGCAAGACATAGTGACCACACGCTGATGTCGCGCGAACACGATTGGCCATAGTTACGCAGAATCTTAACCCACATGCGTTTCGAGAAAGATGAAAATGAAAATTCGACGTATGATTTAAAAAATATAAATGGGCTTTTAAGGTTTTTAGGTACTGACGTTTTTCCACAATCGTTCGAGAAGCCAAGCATGGTCAGTTTTCTTCTCTCTAAGGGGTATTCACGGACGAGCTTAATCCTTATAAACAAACGGATAAATGAGAAGACGCAACTAGTAGTAAAAAAAAAAAGGAAACAAAAATGGCACAACTGGTAGAAAATAAAAACCGTTTCCCAATTAATTTTAGACGCCCGTAAAGCGAAGTTTACAGTGGGAATTTAAGCTGTAAGCCTTAAGAAGTTGACCAGTCACATTCGAGTGTGAAGAGAATAAATCGACTGTAATCGGTCGATTTTTCAAAACTTAAAAATTCTCATTGCAGACCCCGCTTAAGGCTTGGATCTTTTTGTTTTATATAGGAAGACGTGGGCCACCTATTGGTGGCAAAATCTCAAAAATCATAATTTTTTGTGGCTTGGATCCTTCTTGCACAACCACGGCCAATAATCAACGTTTCCTTTGACTTTTTCCTTGCTTATCGAACGCGTCAAGCTTCAGAGAGCCTGTTCACACTATGTGCGTGTGAATGCGCACAGTATTCACCAACGATGTACAAAACGTTTACGATGCATGGCACATTCCCCGGATTCTCCGCCGATGATTTCGACGAAGTGCGCCTCGTTGGTAATCTTAATTTGCCGTTTCTGATGCAGTCGGTCACGCGGCGTCTTCTCCTCTCGACTAAGTGTATAATAAAAATGCTACAAAATAATAATATATATAGCGGTATAGCGTCTAAAATTCGTATTATCATCATTTCATCATACAGAACGTCTGTAAAAACGAAGCGAATGAGAAACCGCGTCGACGTAACGCCGTCGATCATTCAACACACACACATACCCACATTCACATATACACACAAACACACCCACCCATTCACCGGTGTGTGTTGCAATATATAAATTGATCACAATGGTAAAACGTACGCACGCATCTCTCTCTCTCTCTCTCTCTCCCTCGTGCGCGTATGTACGTACGTATTTACTGTCACAATATACACAAATGCTTTCACATTTTTACACGCTATATTCACGCGTGATCGCGATCAGCGCATATATTCACAGTCTCTAGATCAAAGGACGCAAATACATATATTCGGTATTTAAATGTGATGATAGACACCTGTAGTAAACCATACTCGTACCTATTTTCCTTTTTATTCCTCTCGATTACTTAAATCATGAACAATATATACTTAACACTTGAGCTTTGTTTCACATCGCCGGGGCCCGCCTGCGATCGGGACTCTGTCCGCTTGACATTTGGAACGTGAGATATATATATATATATACATATACATAGACACGTGCCGGTTCGCGGCTCTGAAGCTTTGATGTTCGCAGCTAGTCGGATCATATAGTTTTGGCTTTATCGTCCGCTAGAAACTAATCACTCGCTAATTTACTCTGGAAGAACGGAGGCGCGTCTGGCTGCGGCACGAACAGTTCGTTTTCCCTTCTCATTCTCGCGTTTAAGAGCATCGCTCCGTTGTCAAATGTGATTCTCGACTGCTTGCCCGTCTCATCCTGCGTCACCACGAAACATTCGTTCGATACCGTAGCCACCAACACCTCCTCGCCTCCGGCCAGCACTCGTACGTCCCGATCGGCGTCAAGGCGCATCTTTTGCAGTGTTCTGTCCACTTCCTCCGATCGTTCCGTCCTTAAACCGTCTACTGAAATATCGCAAGGGATATCATTGCACGCTGCGGTATTAAGGCTCCAGAATAGGCGCTGCGACTGTCTTTGTTTAATGACGTCAGAAGCGAGAAAACGCCAAATGTCGGAATGTTATATGTTCAAATAAAAAGACGCAACAGCAAAAAATGACATTAGTGTGACTGATTCAGCAAACTTATAAAATTGGACGAACACTTTTCTTTTACTTGAATAATCAATAAGTTGGAGAAAAGGAAGGTTCCGTGTCAAATTGATTTCACGACTATTTATCGGTTGTTCGAATAAAAAGAGGAAAAGTGTTTATACAACTTGACAAATGTGCTGAATCGATCACAAATGTCATTTTGTGTATGCATCTTTTCACTTGAATGTATAAACGCGAAAAATCTTGGAATGTGTTTTTTCTCACCTTTCTGACGTCACTCATTAACATTAAAACTACCAAAGCGCTCAAACGATACGGTTTGTCATTTTTTCTTAGTTATTCCAATTTCTAATGCGTTCTCTGAGATTAATCGCAATTTTCGTCGCAATATGTAAACGAATAAATGTTTTTCTTTGCATTACATATTATTTTTTCAAAAATCTTATTTAAACTGCTCCGGCAGAAAGGTACACGTTAACCGTCGATAGTTTTAGTGTTAAACAAGGACAGTCATAGCGACTACTAGTCCGCAGCCTTAACGAGATGTTGAGAGACGATTTTTTTGAGAAACACGACGTAATACTTACGGCCCAACGCGCTCACAACATTATTCGCTAAGGTTCTCGCTACGGCTAATCTTACATTTGGTACCCTGTCGAATGACAAGCCTATCAGGTTTGGTAACATCTCTTTACTGAACATTCTCCCCGCGATGGCACCGTTGCGGAGTAAGTGCGCGCACAAGACCGCATACGTTTGCCGACGTATCCACTTTTTGCTGTTGGGAACCAAAGTGTCGCGCAGCTCGTGGATAAGCGACGTCACCAGAGCTTCGTCGACGGACAAGTGAGATACGATTCGAGTGACCTGGAAGAACGAGATCTCGTGAGAGGGACCATTCTGAAGTTTGTACTGTATCAAAGGAGGGGGAGAAAAAGTACAGATTGATGCTTTTACAGGGTGTCTACTCTAACCCGAGAAAAAATTCGTCGAAGATTCCCTGGTTTTCTAGGTAATTTGTTGTAAAAATTCCAGATAAAATGTAGTATTTTTAAACTATCTTGCGAATAAACACACGTTTATTGTGCAAAGTGTTTAGTATTTTCCATTCATAAAAGGTTACAAATCATTAAATAAAATGAAGAATCACTCGAGTTTCAATGATGAAACTGAAATTTGAGAAATTTTGAAAAAAAAAACTAAGAACTCTAAATAAATAAATATTTTATATCGTATAAAATTTTGAATTTTGTTTTCGAAAGCTACAAAAAATAATGTAATGCATAACCAATGCAATAAAATTCAACTTTTATAAAACTATTAAAATAAATATCTGTCTTAACTGAACAAATTTGTACCTAATACGAAATCGTCTTCTATACTGAATATCAGATTAGTCATTAAGATGGCTGCAGCGAGAAGAAAAGGAAAAAAAAAGAAAAGAACGAGCAACTGAAAATATAGACACTAAGTAACGCATAAAGGATTGCGAAAGTGAAGAACAATGCAACATGGGCTGTGCGAATTACAGAGAGGGAGACGGGGAGAGATGTCTCACCAGGTCAAGTGCGACAGTCCTAACAGCGGCGATCTTATCCACGAGTAACTGAAGGGACAACGGCGCGATGCTCTGGGCGACGTCGTTCGGGCTAAACAGCGTCACAGCCTCGAGCAACTGGGTGGCCAGTTCCTCCCTGAACCTCCAATTCCACTCGTTATCCGTGGCGAGGAAGTCGCTTAACCTTGGCAGGTATTGACGGCGGTCGGTAGGCTTGAGTATCTTTAGGAAGGTGGCGAGGTGCTTGAGCACACCTATCCTGACCTCGTCCAGATCCTTGATAAAACCGTCATAGATCGGCACGAGATCGGTGGCAGTGAGTTCCTCGCCCAGGATCAGGGCGATCTCGTGAATGCTGGAGGCCAACGTGCGCCGTACCTTCCACTGTCTCGCGCTCGATAACGACTGATAGGCTCTCCTCAGGCAATACCACTTCTCGCGACCCAGCGTGAGCGTGACCGCGGGAAAACTGAAGGCACAATGGTGCGGTATCTCGGCGCCCATGTCGATGGCTTGCTCCGGCTCGGCCATCGACACGAACTGGTTGATCAACTCCTGAGGCACGATGTCCAGCGGTCCGCCGTACTTCGGGTCTAACTTGTTGAAGCTGAAGGCGATGCTGCTCTTGTTCATGGAGAGATTCCAAATGTAGAGCGTGTCGTCCAGCAATTCGGTCGTATCGTGCGACGACAGAGAGTCGTTGTCCTCTTCCTTATGACTACTATTGAGCTTATCCAGATTCGATCGGACCTCCGTAATATTCAACTTCTCCTCTCCCTTTTCTTCCGTCTTCCTCCCCTCTTTCTCTTCCTCCCCCTCGTTTTTCTCACTCGAACACGGGGAAGCAGTCTTGGAAGAACTAGGCGAACTATTCTCGTCGGTGACATCCTCCTCCCTCGGTGTCGCCGCCACTTTCTCGACGTTATTACGATTCATCGCGGACTGCTTCGCGGCATAAATGAGCTCGTCATCCAACGGCGCGTCTGGAGGGATATAATAATATAAAAACGGATTGTATTTCTCGGTCTCGTCCGTAACTTTCTCTTTCGGAGACGTTGGTGGAATATTCGATGGCTTCCGTCGCATCTGAAAGTCAAACAAACAAAATGTCCATGTGAGAAGACGCCGTAACCAAGATCCTGTTGTCCTAGTTAACTTGACGAAATACGCTGTGAGAAACGATAGAGAATATCTGTTTACAGGTGTGTCTGTGCGATATAAATTATCTTCTGTATTGTACATAAAAAAAACAAGAAACATAAAAAAAAGAACACAAAATTCCTGTGCAATATTACGTTTTTTAAATGATGAATATACAGGGTATCCCAAACTAATCTCGGCTCCCGTATTGATGTGCAAGTAGAACGGGTGAGCAGAAAAGTCACGTACCATTTTGCAAAATTCACAATGGTTAGTGATGAATTAATTACTTTGTCTGAACTAATGAGCGCACGGGAAGAGGTAGGCTAGATTCTGCATAAAGAAAAATGGCTTAGATTAGTTTGGGACATCCCGTGTACATGTATGTATATACATATAAAAGTTTCAAGCGAATATTACAACGTTACCGCGTATTACTTCTATACCTTCTCCTTCTCCTTAAGTAATATACAGCGTGGCCGTTCCGTGAGATCATTCTTCTGCTGTTCGTTTTGTTTCTGCTGTTCATTTTGTTTCTGCTGCTCACTTTGTTTCTGCTGCTCACTTTGTTTCTGCTGTTCATTTTGTTTCTGCTGCTGTTCATTGCCTTCCCAGGAGTCCGTTGCTGTTACGGGGGGTTTCGTGTTTATCACAGACATGTGAAAAGAAGAAGCACCTTTGGCATTATCGTCCATGTCGGGTGTTTGATTTCGCATCATGCACTTCATCGGGAACATGCCTTCGTACGGGTAACGTACGCTGCAAAAGAGCCATTATGCTTCAATTTAGACACGTACAGGCCGCAAGCAACCGCACGGACGCGACGAGAAGAGCGAGAAAGTGTGCGACACATTGATACCTAAAGTAATTATCCTGTGAACTGGTATATACCAACTCGCCATGCTGATTGTAAGTGACTTCGGTGAACTGCTTGGCGAAAGTCGATATGAACGGTCCGAGTATTTGAAAGGCCGACATTCGCACCCACTTCGACTCGTCCCTCAAGTGCTTCGCCAGTATTTCCGCTAAGAACAATCGGCGGTGTTCCAGCGTCGAGCAACAAGAGACCGGCATCATCACGTCGACGCACGCTTTTCGCACACCCCACACCCCGTCGCCGCACAAATCGATGAACGTAGGGAACTATGGGGGGGAGTTTGAATCGTATTAATAAATTGATAGTACCCGTCGTCTTCGTTTATTAATTAAGGCTCCTGCTTGTTGGATGTCTTGTTTGATGACGTCGGAAATGACGAGCGCCCAAAGTGCTTGAGAAATACGTTAAAATAAAAAGACATATCCGTGAAATAACAATTGCAGTCGATCGAGGGCAGGCCTGTAAAGTAGTCCGGAAATTTTTCCTTTGCTCAAACGTTCAATAAATAATCGTACAATTTACGCGACATTCAACCTATAAAGTTTCCGGACAATTTTGCAGATCTGCTCGATCAACTGCAATTGTCGTTCTATGGATAAATTTTTTTTATTTCAACGTATTTTGTAAGAATATTGGGTGTAGGTTCCCTCGCTTCTGACGTCGACAATCAAGATGGCGGGGAAACGTGAGCCTTAATTAAACGAATTAATGAAATAAAGAATTAAAGAACTAGAGACGCACCGGCGCACATCTCTTTGTAATTATTATTACGGCTTTATAACGTCGAAGAGAGACTCACCAATTTTCGAAATAATGCCTTCCTGCTTACAGCAGCGCTCATTTCCCCAAAGTGAGTGGCGCAAATTCTCCTCACCGTCGTGTCGTCATCCTCGCACATGTCGATGTATCTGTCCAGAAAGACCCTTTCTGTGAGTTCTTTACCAATCAGCGGTGCCAGTTTACACATGAGCTGCGAATCAATATAAAATATGGGATGTGTGTGTTGAAATGAACTTTTCTAGAGTAACGAGAACGTCTTAACGTAAGAGAGAAGCGCGCGCATGCTACTGCGTACAGACACTTTTCCTTATAGATCATAATGATTAACACACGCAAGTACAATTTCGCACAATTTCTTAACTATTTCTTAACTATTTTAACGCGATTAAAATGAAAATCAATTCCAACTAACACAAGATACAATGTTAACAAGTGCACAGTTTTCTGTTTACGTCTATACACGTGTGCGTTTACGCAATAACCGAGCGAAAGGGAGAGACTTTTTTTTACATCTATCTCTCCGGTTGAGACATATCGTTCCGTTCCGCTCATCAAAGCTGGCTGTGATATGAATCAACAACACCATGTCACAACCACTCTGATGAGTGGAACAGTCGATTTTGAATCATTAGTCTTCCGTTCTGTAAAAAAAGCGTGTATATTAATCAGTTAGAATTTATGCTACGACGAGACGGACATCTAAATTTATATCACACGACACAGAATAATGTGGCCTGGTTATAACGAAGATGACAAATAGCACTGCTTAAATTATGGCGGATATACTAACTACATTATATATGTTTAAATATTTACAGAGACGTCACGGCAAAAAAAAAAATGTGTATAAACAAGCAGGAAATAATATCGTGTGAAATTAACTGTGACAAGGTTGGTGCTTCGATCTCCCGTTTGTGAGCGGAAAATAAAAATTCTCGCGAGAAAACTAAACTAGATGAGTGATATACATAACATACATGTATGTGTATATAAATAATATTTACACCTCGAAATCATTGGGACGGAATGAAGTAATGAGCCCAACCCTTTAATTTAAAAAGAACTTAATCACTCAATAAGAAAGTTCTGAAATACTTAAAATAAGATTATATTTTTTTGTGATTCTATAAAAAGCTTATTCTGTTGATGTACGTTATAAGAATATAATTATTTATGTTTGTAAAGTGATTAAAGGTAACTTTAGCCATTACATAATGACGTGTCATATTATCCGAGTGCGTGAATTTCCGACGATTAAGAGCATTTTCGTCTGAAAAATTCACCATCAACGAGAGCGCGTTTCGCAAAGTCGACAATTATCCTACATTTGTTCCTTATTTTACGACATTCCTTTGCAACCTGCTTGTGTTGTTACAAATCTTACAAACTACTTAAGTAAAGTTGTCCCATCCGCTTAATTAAAGTATCAGAACGCAGAGAGGGATCATCGGCCTCGAAATGTTTCACGCGAATCTCGTGCATCGAATTCGCTGAATCATGAGTACCGCAACGCTCATCAAAGCTGGCTGTGATATGAGCACCGTTACATCAGCATATCACAGCCACTTTGTGAGCAACGCGAGTACACACTCTCTCTTCCGTAGCCGAAGAAGCAGTTTCCAGAGAAGCTCGCGTTCCCCCCGCGACGAGGATCCTTTTTATACACATTATATATATCCTTCCCCCGCGAGAGATTCTGCGCGCGAGATCGGAGAAGGCGATGCATAAAACGGCGATCCAACTCGTCAAAAATGGCTGTGATATGAAATTCAGAGAAGCAACACGCCACAACCAATTTGACGATTGGATCGCGTTTCTCTCCTGATGCTGTGTGTGCGTGTTGTGTTCGCCGGATGAAGCTTTGCGCGGCGGGGTGTTCCTAAAAGCGTACAAAAAACAGTGGCTCGCGAGAGAGATCCGGGCAATTAAAAAATTAATAATAATAATAAAAAGTTATGTACAATATAAACATCATACGACGATTCTCTCTTTTCTTTATACACGTCTACCGATTACTGAACTCTTCACAGGTATTGTATCGACGGTATGTGAGATCTTCCTGACGATCGATTCTGCGGGCCAAGCTCATCAAAATGGCTGTGATATGACTCGAAACATTCCACAACCAATTTGATGTATCGGACCGCAAAAGGTATACGCAACTGTGCCAGTGGCTCCCGGTGATGCTTCTTCTCAGCTTCTTACCCTGCGCGCCCGCGTCTCGCTTTAATCGCTCGACTCTCACCACCCCCGACTCCGTTCTTTTAGCCATCGGAAACACGCTGAGAACGGACACAATTTTGTTCATCAAAGCTGGCTGTGATAGTCGCGAACTCTATGACAAACCAACTTTGATGGTAAAAGCATGCCCCGCCTTTCGCCAGGACGCCAGAGTTTGTGTGTCTTCCACATTTCCCAAGCCGCTTCCCCTTCGGGCTCACTTTTCGCTTATCGAGATCTTCAAACGATGACGACCTAAGTCTTCCCTCTCGTCCTTTCAATGCCATTCTTAATTTGCGATTAACTCATCTCTCTCTCTCTCTCTCTCTCTCTCTCTCTCTCTCTCTCTCTATCTTTCTCTTCTTCTTATTATTCTTATTCGTTTCTCGCCTCAATTCGACGTTTGATGGTGATCTGTTTTCCACCGATGCGCGATAGATCGTGTAACTTTACCGCGTGATTTTGAGGTTCTTTGTATAACGTCGGGGCAAACAGACGCCGCATGAAAGACAAGATAGTGAGACGCGATTGCGTGAGAACATCTCACTACCCATGTCTTTCAGGAGGAATCTGTAAATACGGAAGACCGTTTCTCCAATATGCGCATGCGGACGCGTTCAACGCGGCTATGTATCTCTGATCGAGAGCGCAAGATATTTCGATATGTACGGACGTTAATACGGACGGTGATTCGGCATAAAAAACAGACTGCAGGTGGTAAACATTTCCAGGCCAAAGCTATCCTTAACGGATGAAAATAGAGAAAACTAATTTTCTAAACGATATTTATTTGATTTGAATTTGATATAAAAAAGTTTAAAGAAGGAATTATATATTTATAAGTGATCTGACACAAAGAACAAACGCATGAAAAGTATCCTTTCGTTTGTTTTGTAGTATAAATTCAATCTTTACGTAGCGCTAAATTTCTTATAAGGAAACATTTGAAAGTATCCTTCGCTGATCTTGACAAGTTTTGAATATGTTGCAGAGCAGCTTGAAATAAAAGACACGTGTCTTTTTTTATATGCACCTTCTTACACGCCTAAGGATTGTAGAATGACTTCTCAAGGATAATTCGATAAAATTGATCGTGAGGGAATATCTTCGAAATTATGAGTTATACGGGGGATACGAGAGAGAGGATTCGAAGGATTTAACTGTTCCTTAATATATTCAGCAACCATCAAAATCGATGAAAGACTTCTAAATATTTTCTCTTTAGCACATAAAACCTTTCTTCAATGCGATGATACAATTTTTTGAAGCTATAACACTCGCAGCTTTTCTTATGTCGAATCTTTGATCACATTCAATAATAATAATAATAATAATAACAACAACAACAACAATAACAACAACAGCAACAACAAGGTAGATAAAGGAGGAGAATATATTGAATCGCGGGAAACTTACGGAGACGCTCGTGCTCAGAAAATCCGCCGACATGTAGGACAAAAATTCTACCACGGGACAGATTTCGTTCTCGATAGTGTTGTTGTGAAGGAGGCCCCAATTCATCAGCGTTAACAGTGCATTTTGAGCCGCTAGTCGTACCTGGAGCAAAAAAAATTCACTTACATTTGCGTCAGATAGACGGAGTCTTGATTATTGTCTGAGAATCGAATGAAAAGGCATAGAAGGGAAAAGAAATGCGCCGAGTTACTTGCCTGCTTATCCATGTCCCGGAGATACTTGATGATAATACCGAGCAGATGATTGTGAAGAACATCCTGGCCAAAGAGCTGCGGCGCTTCGTGACAGATCATCGCCACGTGCGGGAGCTGCTCCACCAAATCTGACCGAACCTGAGCATCTATTTAAAAAAAGAGAGAAAAAAAGAAAGCAAATTCATTTACTTTTAGTTCAATTTCAAAGGACATAAAAGATTCACTTCTCGAAACTGAGCTTAACGTTACGTTAAGTAGTTTAGCAATTTGATAAAAAGTTTAAGTATAAAATGAAAAAAGAATAAATAAATGAATAATAGTTCAATATAAGGTGGTTACTACACAATGTTTTTAACACGTTGAAGTGTTAACACGAAGTGTAAACACATGGACTATCGGTGACATTCGACTTTCCGTTCAGACCGCACAGCGCAATATATAAATATAAAAAAAGAATATATATATTTTTTTTAATGCTATTTCTTCTCTTCTTCAAAATAAATATTTCTGTAGTTTTATAACTATCACAAGATGTACCTTATAATAAATGCGGTAACGTGGGATCATCGGTAGACCACGTGGCGTAAACGGAGTCGAAATGTTGGTTCTACATAAAGTGTACTCAATTCCACATAAAGTCTTCAAGTAAAAAAAACGGAAATAACTTCCCATTTGTAACATCAAAGGAGCATCATTAGTATAATTAGATTTCCCGGAAAAAAATTTTAAATTCTACATTAAGACTTCAAGCGGAGAAAACGGAAATAACTTCCCATTTGTGGTTTCAAAAGGAGATCACAATGGGAGACCTTTGAAGACTCAATGTAGAACTGAATAGACCCGACGTAGAAGTGAAATTTCCATTTGGGAATCGAGTCGCGTAAAAATAAATCTCGATATTATTCTCAAAACGATACCTAGGCGCCATCTGAGCGTAATCTAGCATAATTTCGTATACACGGGTGATGATCACCGGAGCAACTTTCTGCGGAAGTGAGCTCGGAAACGCTCAATGTGCCACGCAACGTGCACACAGTTATCGCACACGGACGGTTAAAAGCGGACACAAGCTGAGGAACAGCCCGGAGAAGAGAGAGACTATACACTCGCCAGGCGTATACGTGACTAAAGATGATGCGTCGTCGATCGCACCGCGAAAGCTACTTCCCGAATGGAAAAACTCGCGCAGTGGAGGGGCGGAAGAAGAAACATGGCAACTGCCATAGAGGGGACCTTACAATTTGGGGCCCACAGAAGAGCCCACGTGGCGTGAGACGAGGAGCACGAAGGAAAAAAAAGTGCGCGCGCGTCGTTTTTCCACTTTCGGCTCTCTTCGACCGTTCTCGCTCTCATCCTTCGCGAACTTCTTTCCAACGTGGAACGATACTGAAGCAGTACCGTCCATTAATCACCCAAGGCCTCCTAGGCCTTATTTACCTTCCTCGCTTATTTCCCGGACTTTGCGCATTCCGTTCGATCAAAGTCCCGCCAAAAATACCCCCGGCTGTGCCTCGAACGCTCTCGTCTTTCTCTCTATCTCTTTCTCTCTCCCTCGGCATCGCCATTTTGTCGTCCTCGTCGCCTCCCGAACGTGAAATGTAGGATCCATTCTGTGAGCCAATCCTTCTTGCCCTTCTTAAGTGGTTTCTATTTGACTTTCCTTCCGAGATCTCAATAGCTTCTTAATATTTCTGCACGAGCGATTTCGCGCGACTGATCGTTTTCGATCGTCAATTGTGAAGTCGATAGCAGTCGAGCGTTCGTGTATAATTTCACTGATCGAGCGTCAACCGTGGCCGACGACTTGATTTCAAGTCACATATACATTTCTTCTCGATAAATTCGGCTCGGATTGAAGCGTCAACATTCATTTGTTCACGTTGACATAATGAGGGTATCATTGAGCGCACAGAGAAAAAGGTCTCTTCAGATTTAACGTTTATATTTATTTGACTAAAATTTGTTTCATAGAAACAACATGCATGAAATCTTATTTGTTCGAGTAAAAATGCTATTGTCTCATTCGAGAAAATGGTATTATTTAACAAAGCACGCTATTATTAGAAATAATATCTCTTAACCAAATAAAATATTACTTGGTTGCAATAAATATATGAAATGAAACAATTTCTTTATAAGAAAATTATCTTTCGTTTCAAATAAATTTCTTCTTTAAGATGAAGATACGTATTCGTTGAAAAGTTTATGATATTTAACGCAATTCGTTCAAATCGTGAGAATATTTTGCGCGAATAACAATTAACTATTACTCGCCAATAAATTAGAATTTATATGGACCGATAATCATTGTTGTACGGATACATGTTACGCAAAGATAGATTCGTAATTGACGCGTGAAAGTGAGCGCTCTCGAGCAATGGCTGCGTTCAGAAAACGCAACGGTTGAGTGAACGCTCATTCTCATTGGAATATTCTTTTAGATCTACGATGGATCTCGATCTGAAAAAATACATCGATCAAAGATGATAACCGTGCAACGGCAACGCACAATCGTTGTATTTTCTGAACGTACTCGTTGCTATTTCCGATCACTGGACGACACTACGCGGCAAACTCTCGTCGACAAATATGAAATTATCACACATTTATTACATTATATATATATAATTAAATACATTATATATATATATATATATATAATATCGCTCTTTATATAACGTGACGTGAATTCAGTAGGTCGGCATCAATAATATCGAGGTATATAATGTATTCTTTCGGCTCTTAATTTCGTCACGAGGGATGGAATATCTGACGGCTGTGCGCAGTCGGTCGGAATAGATTCGCGTCGCAAAACAAGATGGCGTCCTCCGACACGACGCGAACGCGCGGAGATGCGTTACGCACGTTACGCTTACGCGGTAAGACAATACGATAACAACAATAATAATAATAACAATGCAGATTTCGGCAGCGGAATATCGTCTGGTCGATTCGAATTTTCACGGAGATCTCCGATCCCGATCGGCGCGTTCGCGAAATATACAGGTGATTTTCGCGCGTCCGCGCCGACAATATCGACGGCGCGCTCTAACCCGAAGAAAGGTTGAGAACGCTCGCGACGGAAATCGGGGGTTCGGCGTTCTTTCCCCGACACGACGGGCGGGTCGTGCGTATCCAAAAATACGTAAAACGCCGACGACATTCGAGAATGTACGCGTGTCGCGTGCCCCCTAAAAGTCCGGGCGGTGTGCGGCATCGCGATGATGATCCCTTCCGCGTGTCCCCCCTACGGGAAAAACAGCGCTGATGATGGCACGTGTTACAGGCAAGATGTTCCGCGGCTCGCCCCTATAAATAGCCCGTTGGGTGGAGGAGGATCGCGTCACCTTCGGGATGCTGCTGCAGCGGGATGCGACCGAGTGGCATCGCACATCCGAATTTTCACGATTTCCGGATGCGTGCCATACTTGTGTGCGTTACACACGGAGGAAGATCCCTACGGTTTCGTTTCTCAGGAACATGAGACTCCTAGCTATGGTTTCTCCGGGGCGAGCCTGACACTTCTTGTTCCGTGACAAATGCATCGCAAAGGACGATTAGTGATAAGTATGGAGAATATTTCAGTTTTGGCCCTGCTTTCGGGAATTTTTACAATCAAACGTTAAGTGGAGCTTCCATCGGAATGAAGTCCACTTCGGTAATTCGTCGAGAAGTTGAATTTTGTTTTCCGTTTATGAATGTTCCGTTTCAATGTTGCCCTTTTTGTCAGAACTGTCCGATTTTCTTTTCCCGATTCATTTCGCGAAAGTATTGATGTTCTTCAAATCATTTGCTAATTTTGTCAGTTTATTTTCTGTAATCTATAATTGAAAGCAAATCCAGAATGTTCAATTAAAAATTGATCCTTTTATTTTTTTTATTAACGAGAAATATCCTTTTCAAAAAAAAAAAGAATATAATAAATATGATGATAACAGCCGAGTGATATAAGGATATAAAAGAGCAATACAATACCAAGTATTTATCATTACATCTTTTCGCGAATTTCATTAATTTATCGTTAAAACAACAATTACTATATTTTAAGTCTTTGTAAAAATTCTTACACATAACATTTTTATATAATTATATTATCATGCAATATATAATGTTATAATTACATTTTTCAAATTTATAATTCAAATTTATAACGTGTTCCTATTCAAGATACATTTCGTTATTTTCGTTCTGTCGAAATATTTCAATCCTAATGCCAATAATTGTCGACAAATGATCATGTGACTGTTATAAATTTGCAACGAGGGCAAATCGTGGTGTTATTCGTGACGCATTTGAAAAAGAAATAGAAAATCTAAAGAAATATATCCAATCCTGAGAATCCCTACAAATTTCAGATACTTTTGGGAATTTTAGAAAAGAGGTTTGGTTAGTCGGCTGGCCGGTCGGTCGCGGTCTATCAGGTCAAAAAGGAATGCGCCGGTATGCTATTCTCTAAGTTTCTTTATAAGGGTAACATAGCAGGTAGAAAAACATTTTTCGCGGCAAGACCGGCGTGCACGAATACTGACATTTTTTTACAAGCGGTACCAACTATCGGGAAACGCTTCTTTCCTTCGAAGTATCCGCCGACGAACTCTCGTCGAGATGATAGTCTCAGGATGCATCTCCTTGCAGTAACAAAAACTGCAATATTTTGACGAGCGTGATACGCGCATCCGTGGAATTTATTTTACATCACACTCGTCATGAAAGAAGTTTGCATGAAATATTTTATCGAGGCATAGTATAACTTTCACGCGTTTTGTACATATTCGAGACACCATTTTACAATCTCATCCATGCGCGTGTTTCAATAGGTGTTTCAACTCGCAGAAACTCTTTAAGTGTTATTAATTATTGAATGTATCGGTTTTATTTTTAATAATCCCATAATTTATAATATATTAAACAAACAGTTCCAACCATTGAGCGAAAAAATCGATACAAGACGAACTTTGAGGGGCAAATTTTATGCTGCTCTCACTTAATCGCGCTACAGTTCTCTCCTGATTTTTTTGCTATATTTTACAAGGCTTTATAAGTTCTACAAGAATTTTGGGCAGAATTCTAGTCTTCAAATATGTATAAGCGATCTCACGACGATTACTTCATAAGCACTTCATGTCGTCCGCCAACAGCGAACTTGTACGCATTTATAAGTTGCGATCAAAATCATTACATGCCAGTTTTGTCCTCATCAAATGCATCTAATTAATTTCGAAACTCGATTTTATCTCACAATTTTACTCCGCACGTAAGTTCAATGTATACCGTGTACCTCGATAAGTTGCCACCCAAGATTCTTTGTAACCAAAAATGGTGATGTTTAAATTAAGAACGGAGCGGAGTTTACGTTGAAACCAGGGGGAGGGGAGGGGAGGAGGGATCGTGCCCTCCCACGTATAAATATCGTGACGGGCTTAATGTTGTATTCTCAAATCCACAAGCGACTTCCGGCACGGTCGCGTGTCATACCGGAAGTGGAGGCATGTCGTTCTCTCGTCGTTACTTCTAAAGACAGCGTTACTTCAACGCCACCGTATCTTAACGCCTCCCTCCCTCCACCCCTCATGAAAGCGACTGGCGATCTCTCTTTGCCTTTCTCCGAGAAACAGCCCTCTTATTACAGCCGATTGTGCTCGATATTGATGCGTCTCCAAATGTAAAACACATGCGGTCAATTGTAACGAAAAATAAACGATATTCTATGTGATATATATCATTAAGAAACGCCACACACATGGGCGGTGTGGTTCACATTGCGGAAATAAATGGGTGCGACGAAATCTAAAATTTCCGAATGACCGAAATTTTCGGGTCTCACAGGCCGTGAATCAAAGCGCCCCCTCCCCCCCTCCCCCGCGTGTAAATCATATTTATTTACTCATATTTATGAATTTATCGGGACAGATTAAAGAGATCGGCGGGAAAGATTTTTGCGTGACAAAAGTTAGTGATTAAAATTACGTTGTAGGGAGAAATTTCAAGGATTCCCGGGAGTTTTGATATTTCAAACGTCGAAATCGATACCTCGTTAATGTCGCGACTGCAATTACCGACTGTGAGTGCCGAGACACCAGTTAGTTTAAACTGCAGTTGGTACGCAGAATTCACGGATCATTCTACGGTGAAGTTTTATATTTCACGAACGCGACAATTCTTAGTTCTAAATGAGTTAACTGTGTTAATATGGACGCGAGTGAATTTGCACAAGCATCAGCGGGAAAACATGATTGAGATGCAAAAGAAAAATGGCACGCCGCGTCACAACAGCGACGATGGCGGTAAAGAGTTTCAGCAACCAATCACACTTATGTTTACGACATGCGTGAATGGTGCGAAGGATTTGGCTCAGCAGATATTTCCAATCCTTTCACATCAGACATATACAAAATTGACAACAATGTGCCACATTAAACCCTTTAGCGTATTTAATTAGGCGATTAAATAACGAGACCAATTTTCTTCTTTTTATCAATTTTGCTGTTAACGCCATTATAATCAACGGACGTTATTACTTGAAAACTTATAACTTAATCTACTTATTGTTGAAACCTCTACTACAGTTAGTAGATCCGAGATCCAAAAGCGCAAAAATCAGACGTTAAATTCTGTTTTAAAATTGACGAAAAGGTACAACTGAGATGGTGACAATAAGTTAGTAAATACAGGGATAAGCGTGTTTATCTTCTGCACAAATATTTATCTGGTTTGTATGATTGCAAGATAGCTGGGAGGATATGAAGGATAATGAAAGGCCAGGACACGTTCAACAATTCGGACTCGCAACGAGGAATTTGAAGAAAAAGTACAAGAACAAAAGATACCAGCCGTTAGGCGATCTTACAAATTGTGGACGTTTCCGGTATCAAGATAAGGAGGCAAAAAAAAAAAAAGACGTAGGATTTCGAGAATAGGAGTCTATGCTTTGTTCTCTATACATCTTTGCCGGATGATCAATAATACGACCACACCCGCGAGGGCGGCGTGTTAAAGACATAAAAAACTTCCTGAGAAGCCGGAGCCTCGGAGAACCGGAGGAAAAAATCTTCGGAGGCGATCGTAACCGGCGACGAAACATGATATTTCCAATGTGACCCTTCTTGTTGACACGGAAAATTGCCAGAAGCTAAAAACATTGCAATTTCAAGAATGCTCAAGGACACCGAAGGCTATGTTGAGTTCTTTTTACGGCACCAAGGGTATCAACCATCACATAAATTTGTCCCGAACGGTGCAACCGTCACTATGGCAATTATTGGCCAAACGTCTCGGAATGTTTTTGGAAGCGAATTGTTCGCGTAAGGTCTGGATTTCGCGAGTCAGGTAGATGAGAGTTCTTGCTGCACGACTGTGTCAGGTTACAGGACGGTCACTCTAATAGGGTTTTCAACCTAAAAACATGGCTGCATGCTTGCTTATATTCATAGTACTGGGCATTCGCAATGCAGCTATTGTATTTATTATTGAAAAGCAAATTACCAAAGAAAAATATTTCCAAGATACCGGAAGCGCTCGAAAATTCATCACATACTCCCTGCAAGCCAATTAACGGAAGATCTCCACAGGTTATTTCAGGTGTAGGCTAACCGTGTTGGACTTCAAGTTGGAGAGATGCGTTTCGAATTAAGTAAATTCTCTTTACTAAACAAAACCATTGCAATTGTTCTTCTTTCCAGCAAAATCGGTCTCATTATTTAATCGTAGAGTTATGTGTATGTGTATATATATATATATATATATATATAGCATACTGGTGAGATTATTCATCGGGGTTAATATTGCGTTCGTAGGTGAAACGTGATCAAAGAGCATAAACACACGTCTCTGAGACTGCAGAGAGGCCATGTTTTCTTTTTTTCTTTTTTTTTTAGTAAAATAATGCAGAATCAAGCTCGTTGGATAAGATTTCTCTTAAATGCTTCTCGGACATGGCGATGCGACAGCAGTGACAGATAGTGTTTTCAACATGAGAAAATTATCGTAAGATGTGAGCGCATTAGCAGTCATAAATGGCTCTATGTTTGCTACATTTAGTGACACCGGCTATTTTCGAGTTGGACGTATCGTATCCAGATATTTGTGCGCCAGCACTGTTGATACTTCGCTATTCGAAGAAACGACAGCGAACATTCGTAGCGCTGGACTTAACCAGACACGATGTGTCTCCAAAAATGACTCTAGTGACTTTACCCTCCGGATGTTCTCAAGCATTTATGATTCCTAGTATCGTGCGCAAAATCGAAAAACAAGCTAACAATGTGCACCGGCGATGTTAGTGTTCTGTTAATGCGGCTGTAATAATAATTACGGCTTCGATAATTGTGTACGACTTACCGGTATCTTCGATAATCGGCTGTATGCAGTGCATGATCTCCGGCAAAACGAGTTTCGTCCCATTGTTGATGGCCGCGCGAAACATCTCCAGCAGGATACGGCCGACCATTTGCCTGCAAATCAATATAGCGCAGCAAGTAAGAACAACGTGCTCTCGACGTTTTTTTTACGTCTGATCTCTTATAACACTCACAGTACAACAGAATTATTTTCAATTTCACTCGCAAGATACGATAAATAACAGAACAATCTCAAGCGATCTCAAGAGGATATTAAACCGCGATTGTAGACAATCGAAGCGATAACGCGCGCAATTTATCCTGAATATCGTCCAGTTACTTGCAAACAGTTTTTCTAGTTTTCATGCGCTCGGTATAGTTCCTGATTAGAAGTCGAGAAATCAAAAGACGATTCACGCCCAGTTTAACACACGGACAAAGTGATTTGTCTAACAACAATCAAATAAGTAACAGATCGGTTTAACCACTGTCTCTTCGCACCGCGAGTCGGAGAGAAGAAGATAGAAAATATTCCGGAGATAATGAAGATACTAGGAAGCAACATGAGGATGCTCGCTTTAACGATCGCACACATGATGGCACGTGAAGTGCATCTTAAAGCCTATCTTGAGGAGTTAATAGGAAGATATAAAACAGATCATCGTGGGCTGCGTATACGAAAGATTATCTTCATCAATTATTCATACTTCCCCGGCCGCATCTCGCGGTGCGTTCGCCTCCGTTAAAATTCCAGCGAACTCGGATAAGCTCGATAATTAAATACATAACCCATGTTAGGCTTCAACCAGCCACCATTCCTCCAAGTTTCGGGTCGTAAAAGAGGAGGAAGGAGGGAAGAAAGAGGAAAAAAGGAGGGTGAGGAGGTGATGGCCGAAGAAACGGGAGAAAGGGGAGGTGGCGTCGCGTGAGGTGAAGAAAGAAAGAAAAAAGAAATTAACTGAAAATCGGAGCAAATAAGGAGGGGTGAGTACGAGCCGAGACAAGACGATGTCGCGAGTAGCGAGTAGCATCGGAGGCCATGAAGACGGCCGATCTCGAGAAGCGGAGTCAAAGATGATGAGAGAGCAAGGAGAAGTGGAAGACGAAGTNCCCCTACCGTGACACCAGGGGTAACTTACCCCCTCGTGGAGGAGAGAGAGAGAGAGAGAGAGCAGCGTGTGGGGGACGCCAGGACGGGGCGATGGAGAGGGGGAGAGGAGGTGGCGACAGAGCGTCAGCGGTGGTGGAAGCGACACCAACGGAATAACGTCGGCGGTGCCCCACCAGAACGACGACGACGTACCGGCGAGTGGGGACGGCGGGTTCTCCGGTGTAGTTGGAGAGCGTACGACCAGCCGGTGCCGCCCGTGAACGCCTACCGTGTCCGCGCAAACATGGCCGCCAACGAGGACGGCGGCGGCGGCGGCGAAGAACGAGGAGAACGAAGACGAAGGTTCCCTCCAGAATTTTCGGGCACGCTTCGCGAAGCGTCGTCTTCGCGCCACGAGACAAGTCTCGCTTCGGGCAGATTGTGCGCCGTGAGTGAGGAGAGAGCGCCATGCCGTGGCGATCCCTCTGCTCTCAGGCGCCCTCTACACACCTGTACGCGGAATGACGAAACGATTTCGCCCGCCAGGCGGGACCCAGGCAACCCCTGGCCCAAAATTTAAGCACGACCGCGGAGGACACTTCCCCTGCAGCCTGCACATTCAAGATGGCCGCAAGTTCGCCAATAACGACGAAGGACACGGAGTTTTTCCTTCCTTTCCTCTCGGTACTTTTCCGCAATATTCAGAGTGTGCCTTGACTGGCGTCTGACTGATTGAATAACGCTGTTCCTTTGGTTAAAAATCCGAATTCTAGAGACCCCGAATCACTTTTTTTCTGCGACGCTTAAGAGAGCAGCAATTATCATGTAGATTCTAGCCAATCAGCGCCATTTTTTATACGTCTTGTCAAGTGGCTTCTTGCTTGGCGCTCAGCTGCCATGTCGCTGCGCGCACTACCAAACGCGCAATTCACGGATGCGCGTTTGCATAAAAAGTGACGCTGATTAGATATATTTTAACCCTTAGCGAACGAATGCCGCCATATTCGCCATATTCGCACATTAAAAATCGTCGTTCGTTAAGGGTTAATTATTAATTACGACTTTAAGTATCGCAGAGAAAAAGACGCAGAAATGTTAACGAGGAATAATGCTATACATGATCGTTGAGCGCTATTTGAACAATAAATAAATATACTCGCGTATTATGTATATGTACATATATGGCATCTATATGAAAAGTTACATGGTTCAAGAATTTGAAAATTCGATGTTGCGTAAAATCCATCGACGTTTATTTAAAAGTTCCGATGTAATTAATTACGAAAACTCGAAAGATAAAAAACTGCGTCAAATTTATTAAGTTCCTTGGAAAATTTTGCCAGTTCGTTCGTTGTATTTTGTACATTGAGAGATCCGACAGTGTACTGAAAAGGTTACCGGTTCCTTCTGAAGTACACAACGTTAATTTGTCTGTGTCCCGGGGCTTTCAGTAAAATGAGACATAGTTCTGTCTAGGTTTCACTAATCCATAGCCTAACCCAACTTGAAAGTTTATTTAGGCTGCCTTTCTACTTCACGACTCTATTTTTCCCTCCAACGTTAAATCAAGTGCCAGTATTTCGAGACTCCGTTGTTTAAATACGTTAGCAAAAAATAGTAAAGTAAATTGCGAGCAGGCTTGATCCAAATTATTTTGAAATCACGACAAAGATAAGCTTCAATCATGCTTTATTCGCAATATTTCGTCTTAATCATCGAAGTTCGTGTTATTTTTTTATTGTATATAAAATATTGCTCTCCTATCTAAGTTCTGTAAGAGTGTGATAACGACTGTTCACATCCAAGCTACAAAGAATCTTTTATGCCGAGCAATGAATTTAAAAGTTACAACATGAACATAACTTACTTTCATTTCTATTCAATCCCGTCATTGTGTTGAATCTAAATTTTACCTGCGGCTAAATGACACAATTATTACATTGCTTATTGAAATTAAAAATACAGATTAAACGCAGATACACATTTGAGCGCGTATTTTCTCGTTTTTCCGAGATCATCAATCAAAATGACCGCGGCCCATGGACCTTAAACGAAGCTGAGAATTTCCCACCTTACAGACGACGATGAAAGGAACCGATCGAAGGATATATAATAGCGGAGCATTCAAGGATCGCGAAAGAAAACGAAAGCGACACGATCGTAGGAAAGGGAAAGCGGCGAGGCGCGTTAGCAAAGGCTCTCTTTAGCGCCGACGCTTTTCAAGCTTCGAGACGTTACAGGGAAGAAATATTTCGATGGCCGACGCGTCCATCGTGTTCTGGATTTCTCTCCGGGGTCTCTTAGTCTCTTCCGACACCTGTCCTAGCACGTACACGCTTTCGGAAATACCCCGGCAGGTTCGTCTTGTATATTACCCGATAGCATCGTGCCGTTCCTCTTTGAATTCCCGGCTGGTAGAAAGATGCGCGCAGGTGCGCTTGCAGCACGCGGAAGAGAACGCTCTTTCTTGGGCATCCATAAAAAGATTACGCGTGGCCCGATGACAATGAAATCCCGTTAAATGATGAAAAAAGGATTTTTCGTGCGATCCATGAGAAAGACGCGACAGTATCTCGGTGCAAATCATTTATAGGGAGAAAACAAATTTTGCTGGAACAGCAAATGTTTGTCAATATATTGACGGCAAAAAAATTTGTTTGGACAGCAGAAAGATTTGTTGAGAGTATTAATTGCCATTTGCCGGATATATGGACAATTAATATTCTTAATCAATCTTTCCGCTGCCCAAAGGAATTTTTTCTTGCTGCCACTATGTTGATAAACATTTGCTGTTCTAGCAAAATTTGTTTTCTCTGTGTATGTGGCGGGATGGTAGTTGGAGACATTGAGTGCACAGAATGAGTACAAAAAATTAGTCTTGAAAATCAAGATAGATATTTTCATATAAAATTCATATAAAATTCATATAAAATTTTTCGTATAAAATGCATATAAAATTCATATAAAATTTTTTAATTTCTACCGACATCTTCACAACGAACTTTGATTATTCCGTTTCTAACTTGATCGAATTTTCGGTAAGAATGAATAAGGGGAAATATTTCATCGTGTTCATCATCACCCTACAATATTATTTTACGGCAGAATATTCCTCTTACGAAGAGATTAACTGGATATGAAATTTTAAATAAGTAAGCTTTCCAGCACCAGCTTTTTCACGTTTACATTTAGCTCCGTTTAACGCAAACGCGAAGCAAACGCGCATAAAACAGGAATTTGTGTAATTTCGTTTCAATTTTCCGCGCGACGTTTCGATCATGGAAAAAGGATCGAACGAGATACGCGGCGAAACTATGCGCGGCGCAGTTGTCCGATGGGCATCGGGTTGATCGGACATGCGATTCGCCAGCGACCAGTTTTGCGGAGCCGTTCAACAACGCGCGTCTTTCCCGTCTCTTCTCACCCGCGCGGAGATGCCAAGAGAGAAGATGATGAAGATGATGAAAAAGAAGGGGGATAAGGAAGCGGCAAAGCGAGAGCGCGCGCGCGCGCGCGAGAGAGAGAGAGAGAGAGAAAGACGAGGAGGAGAAGGAAGAGGATGGAGAGAAAGGGAGAGAGAGTCTGGTAGCGGAATCTCCGTGCCACGAAGGGGCTATAGAGAGAAGGAATGTTGTTGTTGTGCCGGATAGCGTTTGCATCGGCGCAGGGGGAGGTGGAGTGCGGCGGTATCACCGGCGGCATGGAAGGACTCGGCGCAAAGAGAGAAGGTCAGAATGAGAAAGGCACAGGAAAAGGAGAGAGAGAGAGAGAGAGAGATAGAGGGGAGTAAGGAGGGCTGGTGGAACAAGATTGAGAGAGGGGGAACACGAAGAGGGTGGTTGGAGGCGCTGGAGGGGAGGCGAAGTCAATGCACCGCGGGGGAATGCAACGCACGCTGCGCGTCGCGCCAAGCAATACGGGGCCCTGTGTCAGAGAGTACATTCTACCGCGCTTTACGATCGTTCTCTCTCTCTCTCTCTCTCTCTCTATCGCCCGCTCGCTCGCTCCCACTTTCGCCCTCTCG